GAATAAATTAAGCTTCTGAACTGAGGTATCACTGTATTTAAGGATAATCTTGACAGAAATAATGAAATGGACGCAGAGGAAACTATTAAGGCCAGTAAATAAACAAACAGCAACAAAAAAGTCAGAAAAAATGAAGAACTCACCAACATTGTTAAATAAGGCAATGAAATAACTAACATATCTCAGTAATATCTCTCAACAATAATGGCCTCAACTCCCCAATTACAAGACACATATTGGCAGACTAGGTCAAAATACAGAATACAACAGTCTGTTGCATCAGGAAAAAACTCACCTTATTCAAAAAAAATTCATAGACTAAAAGATCAGTTATGGAGAACAGCATTTCATGCACAAAGACCCCCAAAAGAAGTAGGGATAACAATTTTAATATCAAGCATACTAAACTTCAAGCTAAAACTGATTTGAAGACACAAGGAGGTCACTACATACTTGTTAGTTAAGGGAATAAACCAATGAGATAACACTGATAAACATATATGCACCAAATAGTGGAGTACCTATCTTCATAAAACAAAACTGCTGAAAATAAAAGATCAAATAAACACTGACACAATCATAATAAGGGATTTTAACACCCTACTTTCACAAAGAGATCAACTAAACAAAAAAATCAGTGAAAAATATGAGAGCTGAACCATATCCTAGAACATAAGGACTTAATAGATATACACAGAGTATTCCACCCCTGTATAACAGGATATACTTTCTTTTCAGCAGCACATGATACTTTTTCCAAAGCAGACCACATGCTAGTCCACAAAGACTGGTTAAGTACATATGAAAGAATTGAACCTCACACATACTATCAGACCACCAGACAATAAAAATAGAAGTCAATGACAGAAGAAATTCTGGAAAAGGCATAAGCTCCTGAAAAAATCAACAACATACTCCTAAACAACCATTAGGTCCCAGAAGTAATTTTTAAATTTCTGGAAGTTAATGACAATGACATTACAACTTATCAAAACCTCTGGGGAAATACGAAAGCAGTTCTAAGAGGAAAATTCACACAATCAGTGCTCACATTAGAACAGAGCAAGCTCAAATAGACAAATATATATATATATATATATAATATATATATATTTGTCTATTTGAGCTTTCTCTGTTTTTCTTTTTCTTCTTTTCCTCATCCCAGTTGTTCCTTCCTTTGAGCAATTTCTTTTCCTTTCATATTTTCTGTTGTACATTTTGGGTTTTATTTACTCTTGCAGGTTCTTACACTAGGGAGACAATGTGATGTTTACATGTGTGGGTCTGATTTATTTCACTTATGAGTATGGTTTCTAGTAGCATCTATTCACCTATAAAAGCCTTAAAAATATATTTTTATAGCTGAATAATACTCCACTGTATAAAAGTAGCACATCTTTTTTATCCATTGCTCAGTTGATGGGCATTTAGGTTGTTTCCAAGATTTAGCTATGACAAATTGTGCTGTTATAAACATGGGTGCACATATATCGCTGTGGTATGATGTTTTTAATTCTTCTGGGAAGATACCAAGGAGTGGAATAGCTGGGTTAAGTGAGACTTCCAATCTTAGTTTTCTGAGGAATCTCCAAACTGATTTCCACAGTGGTTTCACCAGTCTACACTCCCACCAGCAGTGGAGAAGTGTTCCTTTTCCCCCACAGCCCCTCCAGCATTTCTCATTGGTTGATTTCTTAATGATAACCATTCTGTCTGGGGTAAGAATGGAATCTCAGTTTTGTTTTAATTTGCATTTATTGAGTGCCTAATGATGTTGAACATTTTTTCATATATTTATTCACCACTCATATGTCTTCATCAGAGAAGTGCATATAGAAGGAGAGCTGGGTTAACTGTACTGCGGATGTCTGGTAGTTTATTGAAAGGAACAGTTAATGCTTAAATTTTTTAATATTTTGACCAATTTTGCATGCTTATATCTGGTAATCTGAGCAACTGATATGAAGACAACAATATGCCATATAACAGCCATTGGTAAATTCCTACCATCTTGTCTAGTGAAGCTCTGTATTGTATCTAATGTTTTTTTAAAATTATTATTTTTGAAAAGATTTTCATGGGCTTGTGATCAACCTAGGATGTCTTTCTTGATAATATTCCAGTCTTTCTTGTTGAGTTCATACTTTGACCTAGAATCCATTTTTCAATGGATGTATGGATCTTTTTATTAAAAAATGGTATTTAAAGACCAAAAATTAAGTATTAGAGTCATTCATTGCAATTGTGCTGTCATGGTTTGTAGGTCTTTTTTTGTTGGCAGCTATTTCTATGGAGCTTGTTTGGTGCTGGGACTTGAACCCAGTCTTGTGCATTTTAAGTATATGTTGTTCCACTGAGCAATGCCCTTGTTGTTAAAGGAAAACAATCCTAAATTTGCATTTTCAAATCAAACTTCAGCTCACATAAATTTTTACTTGATCCATTTTATTTCTATTTTCTCTTTAAGGTAGGTGTCAGATATTTTGTCCTGGTGACAAGAAAGTAACTAAGACACACAGGTTCCCTGGAAGCATAGCGTGAAGTAAAGAGTCAAAGACAAGGTGGCATGTGCAACCCAGGGAAGTAGAAATGAGAGGAAGAGAGAGCAAATTCATGGAGGGTGTGTCTGAGCCATCCTCAGTTCCACAGGCATTGCTGGTTTCATAATGGTGCACCCCATGGGACTTCCTGCATTTGCAGGAAGTCACCCAGCCCTTGCAGAATGTTGCTGCTGCTAGAGCCTTCGTTACATGCTGCATGTAAGCTGAAGAGCAGGCTCAAGATTCTCTCCTACTCAGTCAACTTCATGGGTAGAGGCTCTGGTTCTGCAACAGTAGGAAGCAGGGGAAGCAGCGGGCCTATTTCCCAAGTGAAGGAGTGATTTCTCCCATCAGGAAGCCACCCAGGCTGTGGAAGTAGACCCAGCCAAGCCGACCCTGAGAAGTGCAGGAAAGGGATTACAATTGTAAAGGAATCATCTAAGTATTCTTCCTTATTCAGAAGTCTTTGGTAACCAAGATTATTGTTTTGGATACAGAGTTAAGAAAACATATTAAAAAGTCATCTCATATTTTTCCTTGACTAAGCAAGACTATAAATTGTTTAATTTTTCCTTTTTTGTTTTAAAGAGAATAATAAAAAATAGCAAAATATCGACAACATAGACAAAAACAAAACAAAGCAAAAACAATAAAAATGATACAGGGTTTCAGAACAAAATGATAGAAACTAACAGTGGTTGTTATATTACATATTGTTATCTTCAACGAAGTTGCTCAGATTACCGGATGTGAGAGTGGAAGATTGATCAAACCATTGAAGAGAATAAAAAATAAAAACAGAAAAACATTAGAAATGATTTAATTTTTGAAAATTCTGAAAGATATTGTACAATTTTCCCTCAGTAACCCATTCTAGTATCTATACAGCAATTTACACATTAAAATTCTATTCTAGCATACATGGGTCTTAGGCATACATGGGTCTTAGACCCATAATTCCTTTGGCCAATAAAAATGCTGGCCACTTAAAAATTCTAAAATGAAAAAAAATTCTAAAATTTATGGTAATTAGAAAGTAGTTTCAAAAAGTCAACCTACACTTGGTCTAAGACATAAATTTATATGATAAAATTCACAATCTTCATTTAGGAAGACATTAGCAAGTGTGATAAAATAGGCTATAATTAATATAATGATTCTAATGAAATTAGATATTCTGAGAAATTAGTTCTCTTTGACTATCAGTCAAAACTATAATAGTTTTTTTGTTTGTTTGTTAGCTTTTGTTTTTGTTTTGGGGGTGAGATTTCACTATACTGCTGAGGCTGACTTTGCGGTTAATGATCCTCTTCCTGCCTCCAAACGTCAGATATGTACCACCATGCCCAGCTTAACATTTTAATATTTTATTCTTCTTCTATATTAGTGTAATTAGTTCCCTTCCCCAATTTGAGTGAATCTTTTTTTTAAATGTTAAAGTACTGGGAATTGAACACAGAGCCTTTATACTGAGCTACATTCCCATTCCTTTTTATATTTTTACTTTGAGACAGGATCCCACTAAGTCACTACATGGCCCAGACTGGTCTCAAACTTGCAATCCTCCTGCTTTTGTCTTTCAAAGTACTGGGATTACGGGTGTTGCCACCACATCCTACTCTGAATGAATATTTGATCTGGCTTATTTTGGTCTTCTCTTCTGGTGGTAATTTTGAAATAAATTTAAATATATGTTCATGATTATATGAAAGTTTTTAGAAAACTATTGTGAACTCAGATATCAAATATCTATAAATACTGTGATAACAGACATGCTCATTTTCCCTTGGTAATAATTTAGCTTGTGTGCATGTCCGTGTGTGTGTCTGTGTACCTGAAATTTTGACTCAAACTGTGACTGACATATTACAGTGGCAATAGTCTTAGAAGTCTATCAGAGAAAAAGTTCTGTCCAAAGAACAAAGTTGATAAATCAGCTTGAGCCAGCTTCCTGGATATGTGAAGTACTAACATAATACCTTACAGTGATCATTAATCATGTTTATGTGGAAGAAAGAGCTGGGGAAAGAAAGGAGGGGAGGAGGGACAAAACACTTCGTGCTAACCCCTCTCCGCCCCTGTGCATTCACTGTGGGTGAGGACAGCACGGGTGCTCTGCACCACGCTGAGTGGCTGAGTGAATGAGCACCTCTCCACACTGTTGGCAGGAGACAAAGAGGTGGGGTAAAGATCCTCAGCTTTCTTCCTGCTCTATGTTCTGCGGTTTCTTTGAATACTACAAGTTGGCTAAGTTGCAAATTTGCTTTAAAGTAGGAAAACCAAAACACCTTCGGATATGATGTAGGGAGATAATGCTCCTCGGCTTGTCTACTTCAGCACCAGGGAAATCTAATATTATCAATCTCACTACCAGTAATGTCAGGTAAATACCATCACAGGGACAAGCAATGCACATTAATAAAAGGTGTGTACACCATAGCATGAACTCAAATTCATAGCTGGGATAATAACTACTTTTATGCTGTCCAGTATCAGCTGCCTTGTTTTCAGTAGCATACAAGCAGTCGTCTTTCTAAGGCAGAGCTCCTTCCCGGACAAGGAAAAACTGCTGAAGTCATGAGGCTGCTCCAGGCAGAGCCCTCATGTGAGTCATATGAAAGCTCCAGCTGCTGACCTCTGGCGAAAAGGGAGTGAGCCAGGGGAGGAGAGGCAGAAGAGGAAAGGTTCAAGTGCCGGTTTTCTCCTTGAACCTGGAAGATTATGGGTCAAGAGCTGTGTGCAAAGAGTCGACAACCTGGGTGCAGCTGCTACCACCGTTCGGAGGGAGGGGAGGCGCGCAGCTGGCCGAGGGGTCAGCCGGTGGCGAAGGAGGCTGCGCTGCAGGTATTTGCATCCGGGAGAGCCTCTTTCTCTATCCATCCACCGAGAAATGCAGATGCTCCCTTTCTGTAGCAGGGTCTGATTCTTCTGCGGTAGGTCTAAACACATAAAAAGAAAATTCTATTAAGGTCACGAGAATTTATGGCTATAGCTATGCAATGTGGAGACGGCTTGTAAACCAAAGAGAGAAAAAGGCTTGGCTTTGAGCTGCACGGAACTCCCTTGACTTGAAGTGGAGAAAGTGGTTTTACTCTTGAAATCTCCAAGGTACTAAATTGCAGAGCTCAACCGCAGAAGGCAAGCTGCAGTACTGGTTGGTATGCTGTGCATTCAAAATTTCAATCATTAGCTCATGATTATTAGCAATACCATACTAGAAAACCACCCCCTCAAAAAATAAGTTAGGTAGACGGGGGGGGGGTGCATAATTAAACAGAAGAATTGGAAAACATCCAGCAAAATGAGCGTTAGGTTCATCTAAGTGTTACAGACATACAGTCGGGTAAGGAAAGAGTGCATTCGATACCATTACAGTCTTTTTTAGGGATCTGACTTTCAAGAAACACGGCTGTGGGGAGTTGTAGGAAGCTTAAAAAACAGAGAACCGGGCAAATAAAGAATAGTTTTGCCAACCACTGAATCTTGACTTTGCATAAATTTTACTCTTGTGCTTTCTTTTTTCTGTAGCTAACAGACCTAAAAGAAGCATCTTGTTCCATGACTTCATTCCACCCGCCGGGGGAACGTCAGGCTGTCAGTGCCGGGAAGTTAAAGAGTAAAAGGCCACGGAGTAACAGCGATTCTTTTCAGGAAGAGGATCTGAGGCAGGGTTTTCAGTGGGTGAGTGAGCTGCTGATGTTGATGTTGGTCAAGAAGAATTCAGTGCATGAGCGTCTCTGGACATGTTGCCCGTGTGTTCTGGCGGTGCTGTCCCTGCTCCCTGGGGTGGAAAAAGTTAATAATTTTTTAAAAAGTGCTCTTTCTTTCTCCCTCCCCATCCCTTCAAGCAGAGGAAGAGCCTCCCTTTTGGGGCAGCCTCCTCCTACTTGAACTTGGAGAAGCTGGGGGAAGGCTCTTACGCTACAGTTTACAAGGGCATTAGCAGGTGAGTGACTCACAGGTGCAAGAGATTTTAGAACGGTGAGGCCCACCCTTCGCTTACATCATAAACCAGAGGATGCATCAGGGAGGTTCACTGGGTTTGGGACCTGTGCAAGGCACAAGGGCAGTAAGGAGAGACACGTGATGATTTAAATAGCCTTGAAAGAAAAAGCAAGCCTGCTGTGCTCCTAAGATCAGCCCATTAAAATGTTTATCGGCTTTTCTTCTCTTTTATTCCAGTAAAAGAAAAAGAAATTTTTCTCTACTATTGACCCAAAGAACAATCCCTGTCTGTGGGTAAGGGGTAGAGCCCATCCTGCCCTCCCTAATGAAGGTGACTCAGGATTTAACTACAGGCTGTTGGGTTTGCCACCTCGTTCTTTCACCTGGCCTAGGGGGCAGAAACTAAGGTTGGTTTCTGCGGAGCAGGGGATGTGCAAAAAAATGATAAATCCTGATTTTCCTACACTTAGAAAATATATAAAATGACTGAAGAATAATAACACTCCTTATTTAAAAGCCAAATCTCATTTTGGAGAAATGAATTCCACTGCATTTTAGTTGAGCTGGGGAAATTGGAGGATCTATTCTTTTTTTTTTTTTCTATGTTACTCTACTGGAGAAAAACAATGGCTTAATAGTGGGTTAAGTGTTTTGTTCGGTTTTTTTGTTTGCTTGTCTTGAGACAGGGCCTCACTGTATAGTTCAGGCTGGCCTTGAGCTCACTATGTAGCCTAGGCTGGCCTTGAACTCACAGTGATCCTCCTGCCTCAGCCGTCTGAGTGCTGGAATCACAGGCATGTACCACTATGCCTGCTTTAAAAGTTTATATTTAAAATGTAATATAAATACAAAAAAACTATTGTTTATCTTAGAGTTTGCATGCTATTATTTTTATTTGTTAAAACAAGATTGTAAATACAATTTTAAAAATATTGAATAAGAGCAGGATTTAATTCATATCTGTAGATTATCCTAGAAATCAAGAATATAAGATTTTCTTTAAGGAACTCAGCCTGGTAATAGGATGAAGAATATGTTAGAAATACTTGACCAAGTGCACAGAAGGAATAAAGTAGAAATATATTGCTTACAGCAAGATTTATAACAGGATAAACAAAAACTTGGTCACAAATATCCATAAATACAGGACCAAGTAATTAATCACAATTCTATAGAATTGAACCTAGCCATCTAATGTATGCAGTAGATGTACTGATATGAAAAAAAAGTCTAGTATTTTTAGAGAAAAAAACCAAGTTACAGAACATCTGTACCCCCTTCTCTCTTTTAGAAAAAAGCACTCAGATGTACTGTACAAATATAGATTTGTATGTATATAGAAGAGGCAAGAGACATAGACAAGAGGTTATTACTTCTAGCAGTTAAAACTAGGTCAGGGAAATGATGATCACTCTCAAACTTTCTATTTTATTCTCTACCACAAAGACATTTTATTTATAATGTAAAAACCTATTGCAAAATGCCATAAAGATAAATGCCAAAAAGGCATTTGATAAGTTCAATATCAATTTTTAGTTTTAAAAATTCTAAATAAATGGGCATGGTGGTATATACTTATAATCCCAGTATTCAGGAGGCTGAAGCAAGAGGGTGACTGGGAGTTTAAGGCCAGCCTGGGCTACATAATGAGTTCAAGGCCAATGTGGACTATATAGTGAGACCTTGTCTCAAAAAATAAAACAAAAAACAAACAAAAAACTCTAAATAAAATGGGAACAGAATGAATGACAATTCCTTATTTATGCTGTAGAATATTTCAAATCAACAGCTTACATGCTTTGTTGTTAAATATTGGAGACATTACTGTTAAATTTGAAATAGGGCAAGAATATTCATCATGCATTATTGATAAAAATTATCTTAGCTGGATGTGTTAGTGCATGCCTCTCATCCCAGCCACTCAGGATGATCATTGGTTCAAGGCCAGCCTGGGCAATTTAGTGAGACCCTGTCTCAAAATAAAACAATAAAAAGGACCAGGGATATCACTCAGGGGTACAGCACCCCTGGTCCTCAAGTCCCAGTAACTAAACAAACAAACAATAAATAAATGTTCTAGCCAATGTAAAGAGAAGATGCTGAATATCAATTTTTGTGGGTTATAGTATTAGTTCCCTAATGTACCTAAGAGACTCATCTGAAAAACTATTGGTAGTAACACAGAACAGCAAGATGATCAATTACAAAATCAATATATACTCATCCTAACTTATCTCATGTGTTAGAAATAACCACTTAGAAAATAAGGGCAGGACCTATATATTTTCTGAGGAACATAAAAGACTTAAAGAATCAGATAGACATTCTATTAAAATTTATTAATTTTTATGTTATCATCTTTATTGTGTGCCAGGCAGTATTTTAGCCACTAAGAAAACGCTGGAGGTAGGGGCAGGGATGTAGCTCAACAGTACAGTGCCTGCCTGGCAAGCATGAGGCCCTGAGTTCTATTCCTGGTACCAAAAAAACCGAATACATTGGAAGACAAGAGACAAATACCCCTTCTTTTATGGAGGGTAGGAGGGGTAAGATAGGCAATAAGCAAATTAGTAAAATACTGAGCTAATCAAAGAGTGAAAAGTGCTGTGGAAATGAAAAAAAAAAAAAAAAAGGGAAGAGGGTGGGAGAGCCAGAGTGGGAGAGTAGTTATGATCACAGGAGGCCTCATGGGAAGGAGAGAGCGGAACTGGGACTGGTGGAAGTGGGGAGCAAGCTAACACCCAGACCGTGGAAGGCAGCTTGGAGTAGGAGAGGGGCAGCAAGTAAAAAAGTCACTGAGGCAGAATCAACCTTGGCCCCGGAGAGGAAGAGGGTACACGTGTGCCCAGGGGTCATATAGGGTCTGGTGCAGTGGCCATTCCAGGGACTGTCTACATACAGGATATTTGGATTCGAAAATTTACTAGTGTAAAGGTGTCAGTGAGTCTTTAACTTCAAGTTTTGATGTATTATAAATACAGTTGTCCCTTGGAATCCTTGAGAGTTTGGTCTATAACCCACTTGGACACCAAAATCCTAAAATGCTGATGTCCCTTTCTTAAAGTGTTACAGAATATAATTAGTATAATATAGCACAATATAACATCTAATACAATGTAAATGCCATGTAAATAGTGGTTACATTGTATTGTTTAGGGAATGATGACAAGAAAGGAAAGTCAGTACATGTTTAATTCAGATGCAATTTTTCCCAAATATTTTCAGTCTGTGCTTGCTTGAATGTACAGATGCAGACCCCGCAGATACAGAGGGCTGACCATACATTCTGAATTACAATATAATAATTGTGGAGCACAAGTAAAAGAAAAGACAGATCAAAGAAACATGATTTTGAAAAGTCCAAGACCATTGGACAGTCCAAGTGTTAGTAAAATCTAATAAATAATCACTGGCATTTCAAGTCAGCAGAGAAAAAATGGTGCAATAAATGGAAGTTGGATAATGGTTAGCCATTTGGAAAAAATGGATATAAATTTGAATGTAGTGGATTAAAGAGTTAAATGTAAAGGAAAACATAAAAGAACTAGAAGAAAAGAAAAGATCTATATAAGCTTCAGACTGCAATAGTCTGTCTAAGTGTAACATCAGGAAAGATACATGTCTGGGTTGCCCCATCTATTCAAGTATGTGCCGGGGAGCCCCAACTCTGACACACTATAATAGATGTTTCACTGAAACAGTTATGGTCAAATTGATATGGAAAACACAAAATAAAATTCAATTCTTTTTTATAGAAAGATTTTAGTATTTTTTTTATGTATTTATAGTATTTTTTGCAAGAATTGAACCCAGGGCCTCACACATAGTGGCATGTTCTACCACTAAGCTATATCCCAAACCCCTTTTTATTTTTATTTTTATTTTGAGACAAATTCTCACTAAGTTGCCCAGGTTAATCCCAAACTTGTAATCCTCCTGTCTCAGCCACCCAAGTAGCTGAAATTAGAGGCGTGTATCATTGTTCCTGGCTAACTTTCAGCATTTAAAAAAATCAACATATGCTATAACTACAAATGATCCAGAAGATTAAGTACAAAGCATTTTCTAAACATATTTGACCAAAAACACCTTTTTCATAGGGATGTAGAACTTTACACAATATCTAAGTAAAACACTTTGGAAAATACTGAGCATCACAAAGAATTTAAAGTTCAAGGCTTCAGAGACAGCCTGGCATGGTGACACACGCCTGTGATCCCATGATTTGGGAGGTTTATTATGACCCAGCATAGACTATGTCAAAAGGACAAATAAACATACTTCATACAGGGTAAGGCAAATGAAGGCAGCTGGTGAAAAGAATGTGCAAAATGTTTCCACAAAAAGTCAGGCAAATAGGCAAAACACACACAAATAGACAGATAAGACCAATGCATTTAGCAAAACTTAGTTTTACAAGTAAGAAATTGAAATTAACATGTGACCATCTTTTTCATCTATCAAATAGGCCAGAATGTGAAGATTAAAGCAAGAACAAATCCTTATTGATAAGGGAATGGCAAAGCAACAAGAAGCCAGCTGAAAGTGCTTCTGAAGGATAAATTTCCAAAAATTTAAAAAATAAGAACCAGGCATGGTGACACACACTTTTAATCCTGCACTCAGGAGGCCAAGGCAGGAAGATCCTCAAAAGTTCAAGGCCAGCCTGGGCTACATAGTGAGTTCAAGGCCAGCCTGAACTACGTAGTGAGACCCTGACTCAAAAAACAAAACAACAACAACAAGATGTCAGAAATAGAATAACACCAAGCCAGGCATGGTGGTCCATACCTCTAATCCTACCATGCTGGGAGGCTGAGACTGGGGGATTGCCAGTCCGAGCCTGCTTAGGGCAATTTAGTGACACTGTGACGTGCTTTCTCAAAATTAAAAATGAAAAAAGGGCTAGGGATGTAACTGAGTGTGAAGGCCCTAAATTCAATCCCTAGTCCAAAATAATAATAATAATAATAATAATAATAATGCATTAAATTAGAACCTGAAGAATAAAATACTTATGAGTCCACACTGATATAAACAAGTGGTTCATGCTGGGTGTGGTGGTGCAGACCTGTAATACCAGCACTTGGGAGGCAGAGGCAGGAGGATTGCCATGAATTTAAGGCCAATCTGGGCTACATAGTGAGTTCAAGTCCAGCCTAAACTATGAAGAGAGACCCTGTCTCAATAAATAAATAAAAGGTTGAATAAATTAATAATAGGAGAGAAGAAATAAATTTCTCCTGCAGTAGAATTCCAAATAATTTATGTAGAAAGTCTACCCTGAAAGAGACACATAACAGTTCTCCAATACTGAAATGTAGTCACTTATAGTGATACTCATGCTAAAGTACAGTACAGAAGGGGGAAAATGTAGCTTTATCATAGAGAGATCAGACAAAAGTTACCTCAGACAGGTGAGTAAAGTCAACATCAAAAGCTATAAGTCACCATGACAGTATGTATCCTTAATCAGATCTGATAAAGAGGGCTTCTTACATTCCCAAACTCATAATCCTAGTCTCATAAGAAAGACATCAGAACAATTCCAAGAGAGGAACATCTTACAAAACACTGCTCAAAACTGCCAAGGAAAATCTGGGAATCTCAGCAATGCAGAACCTAAGAGGATATGACAATGAGATATAGCCTTGAATTGAACCCTAGACAATAAAAAGGATATTAAGTAAAAACTAAAGAAATCCTAATAAACTATGAGTTTCAGTTAATAATACCTATCAATATTTATTTAGTAACTATAACAACTATGCCGTACTAATGTAAGACATTAACAATAGGAAAAATTGTATGCAAGATATATGGGAACTTTCTATACTACCTTCTTAATTTTTGTGTAGATCTAAAAATGTTCTAAAAACTGAAGCCTAAAAATACACACATAACATTGATTAATGTTAACCAGGGAGTGGTGCAATATCCAATCTTCTGACCACTAGAGCGACAGGCATATTTATATGATCAATACTGTATCATTATTAAATATCCCCTTGTACAAGACTGAATGATAAAAAAATTTTAAATGGGAAAGAATAGATGACTACTAAAATTATAGGAACCCCACTGTATTAAAACGCACATTTATCCTTGCATTAAAGTCTTCTTTGTTTTCAGTACTTATTTTCATCATGAACAAGATCTATGAATAAGGGAAAAGTAGGAGGTAGAGAGACCATGGTGCGGACAGGTAGACTGGGCAGCACTTTGGAGGCAGTGGGAGGATCTGGTTGTTATTCTGAGCCAAACTTAGAAATACAGTGTGTTTTGAAATGACCTTTCTTGGCTTTCCTTTTATGAGGATGCCCCCCAGCTATGTTGAAAATAGACAGGAAGAGTAAGTGTTCAAGCTGGGGGAGGGTTAGTGAGAAGCCAGGTGGAAAATGAGGATGGCTTGCGAAAGTGTGCAGGAAGGAATGAGAGGAGCAATGGACAGCAAAGTGGCAGGAGGAAGGTGCTTTCTCTGGCCTCTTCTCCTCCAAATATTCTATAATGAACACATACCATGTCAGTAAAGAGAAAACCATGCTTTGTAATATATCTATGCAATGCACATTTTATACTGGTTATCTATATAATATGTATATATTACATATAGTTTTATTTTGAGAAAATAGTAGCTCCAACATGCTAGAACATATTTTTTTGAAGGAAAACTGCTTTAAAAAATCAACTTTAGTAAAAGTTGCAGTTTGGAACTATCTCCGCAATGTGTGCCATATCTTCCACCCCCTTTCTAGGATCAATGGGCAGCTGGTGGCTTTAAAAGTCATCAGCATGAACGCAGAGGAAGGAGTCCCATTCACAGCTATCCGGGAAGGTAAGAACAGGAAAAATGGTCCTAGGAGATGGTTTTGATTCCTTGCTTTGAAAAAATAAAAAAGGAAAGAAAGAAAAGAAAAGGAAGAAGAAAAGATGCATTGAGTTTATTTATTTAGCACCTGATTTCTGGTATTTCTACAAGTTTTTTTCTTTTTCCTTTTTTGGTGGTACTTGGGTTGGACCCAGGACCTTCACACTGAATTATGTTCCCCACTCTTTTTTTATCTTTTATTTTGAGACAAGTTCTCACTAAATTACTAAGTTGCCCAGGCTAGGCTTGAACATTTGATCTTCCTGCCTCAGCTTCCTAGAATGTTGGGATTACAGCCAGATGCCACCATGCTGGGCTAGAAGTAATATTTATTTTATTTTATTTTATTAAGACAGAGTCTCACTCTGTTGCCCAAGCTGCCCCAAACTAAGAGTCTTGTGCCTCAGCTACCTGAAGGCTGGGTTTACAGGCATGTACCACCACACCCAACACAATTTTATTCTTGATTCCAGTTTTTCAGCAGTTTTTACACTATTATTTTATTATTTATTTTTAGGATATTAATATTCAAACTGTTATATCACTTGACTGAAGTTATGAACTCAATGATTATTTACTAGATAATTTCTACATGCTTGACCTCATACTGGGTGCTAAAACTTTGTCTATCCAATGCCCAAATTTCATGTAAAAGAAAGAAAAATATAACATCACCTTAATTCTTCATGGGAAATTTGCCTGAACATCCTTGTCATTTTGAGAATATTTGAAAAACTCTGGGAAGGCATGTACTTGTAGCGCAGTGTTGTATTTCCTTCCAAACCCGGGCAGCAGCGCAGGCAGGTGAGGATGGACTCCACTCTGCACCACAGGCCTGCCAGGTTCTGGAGGGGCTCACTTTGCCTCTCTGAAACTCAGTTCATTGCAAAGGCAGTAAACTGAGGATGAGATGAGTATTTATCACAGGGTATATTTTCAGAGTTCAACAGACTTGGACAGTTGTTCTCTTCTTGCTCTTTTCCTTGGTGATGTTTTGTTGATCGTCAAGATAATGAATGAGTTATACTATAAATCTCAAAAGGCCAACATAGTGAAAATAAATTGCTAAAAAGCATAATTTATCAACTTTTTCACATCAGCCATTTGAGGCAATGTTAGGATTGCTATCCATTTCAGAAAAAAAAAAGGAAGCGCATTTCCCTTGCCTTGCTTTTTCTCCCTTTTTACTTTTTATCTTCCCTTCTTTACCAAGCACACCCTATATGCAAAGCACATTGCTGAACATCGCAAAGGGAAAGCCCAATCTTTTGTTGTTTGAATTCTAACAGAGTAGATAATTCAAGTAACAGATATGTAAAAGACGTGCACAACCTTGAGGACAAGTTTGTTTCAGTGTCTAATGGAGTCTATGAATTTTGAACTGAGCTTGGATGGATTGGTTATGCAAATAGGCGTAAAAAAAAAAGCAATTCAGAAAATGAGTTTATAACTTAATTTGATGCCATTTCAAAAAGTCTTTTAGAGCCCCTGGGAAATAAACGGTTTTGAATTTAAATAGAAGGGCCAATGGCTATCAGTTTAGCCAGGACTCCTTCTGTAGGATCAGGTGCACATGGATTTAAGTGTTTAATGTAATGGAAGCTGCATTTATGGATGTTCTTATTAGTGGTTTCCATGAAAGGATGACCACATACAGAAAAGACATGTGGGGAGGGTAAAGAGTATTTCTGAACCTAATAGCAGCCCCGGGTCGCCCACCTAAGGGAAGGGAACCTAGGCCCATGTTCACCTCATTCCCTGCCGCCTGCATGGCTTTTCTCAGCTTTTGCTCACAGCCAAGTTTTTCAGGCTGACATTTGATGGTTTTGCCAGTTTTGCTAACAGATGGCTCTCAGCATGGTTCACAAGAGCTGGATCTGTATTGTTCTGTGTGCTAAAGGTTTCTTTCATTGCACGTTTACCGGGGAGCTGCCTCTCCCTCACAGGTGTTTACAATTACACTTAGTATTTAACCACAGACTCCATCCCTTTGTTTTATGGACTTCCCTTACTGAAAGCTTTGCTTGTATAATACTGAAAACCACAAAAGGATTTTTGACACTCTGGAGGTTGTTAGCCTTCCAGTTTCTAACAATGAATGCTTCTTTTTCCACTAGTGTAAGAGCTTGGAGCCCTTGTTAGAAAGGTCCGCTCTCCTCAAGTAGATGTGAGGCCTCGTTTGAGAACTTTGGCACTGTCCCATTTTTCCTGTAAGAACTCTAAGGATGTGAGGCCAGAGACACAGGAGGTTAAATTAGAAGGACTGGAAGGCAAAATAAGAACAGCTGGAGTTCATTAGTTAAAATCCAGGGTCACTAGCTAAAAAGGCAATCAAAAGCCACGTGCAGAAAAACCGAACAAGTAATGCAGCCTTCTTTGAAAAGCCTTGAAGCAGGAGTTGGGTTTCCTGAGCAGTTTGCTTACTCTGCTGGCACGGCAGCCCGAGATTTATCGAGCAGCCCAGTCTCTGTGTAGGTAGAATACATACGGCAGTTTATTAGTCATGTTATATAGAGTGCTATTTGTCTTCATTCGTTCTTAATATATAATATTATGAAATTAGCAGGAGTATGTACAGTACAAAGGGAAAACTATCAGGTTCTTTTCAAACCTCTTTCAACCCCCTTAACTTTGAGAGATAATGTATTATTATTCTACTGTATAGCCATCATTCAAACCACATCTGTCTGATTCAGGATGCTATAACCTTCTGTACGTTTATTCTACAAATATTTATTGTGTACCCACAGCGACAATCTCTCTGCTGACTACTAGATATACAGCAATGCACCAAATAGACATGTCCCTACTACCTTAATGCTTTTGTTAATTAAAAAGACCAGAGGCTTTCATAGCAACTTAGAAAATCTTTCTTAATTGGCTCAGAAATATTTCAAATATTTATTTTCACAAGTAGGAGAAAATACCTTCATTTGAACAGGCCAATATTTTATGTTTTATGTAAGAATAGTGTTTCTTAGTTTTATTAAATTCTATCAATATTTTAATGCACCTTATTTTAAATATCTTTCTAAAAATGATTACCTTCTAGTTTAAACTAGGGACCTTTCACCTCACTGTAGAATTTCCTTAGGAAGCAGTTATTTAATTCACCTTTTTTGAGAAGTAAACACATGACATACTCCAATCTTATAGTCTTATTTTGCCCCTTACACTAACTCTAGGAAGTAAAATGTGTTATTTTTGTTGTACAGATGAAGGCATCCTGAGCTCAGAGAGGTTAGGTAACTTATTTGAAGTCACAGAGCTAGTAATTAGAGTTTTTAGATACTAGGATCCATATCTATTCTATCTTAAATTCTTTCTACTTTGTTATATAAATTTGGAAGTGCATTTCTCCTTTACCAAGAGTAAAGTTAGAAATAGGAATCTGTTTTTATAACATACTCTATATAAACATTAGGGAAAAATCAGAAGAAACATTTTAAGGAAAATAATATATAATATTGTGTATTCAGCAATTTTGCTCCTATAGCACCAGTAATTGCAGCATTTAAATTAGAAACAGTTTCATCTAAAAATATTTAAGGTCAATTTGCTAGTAGAAAATTGTAATTACATTACAAACTAATTATTCCCAATCCACATATTTTTAAAAACAGCCAAAAGAAAGTCTGAGGAACTTTCCTGAGATTACACAATAAGACAAAGGAGGAATCTGATTAGAATTTCTAATTCTCCATGCTAGCATACTCCTGTAATTCCAGCACTCAGGAGGCTGAGTCAGGAGGAGAACGAATTCAAGGCCAGCCTGGGTTACATAGACTTCCCGAGGAGAGTCTAACTCCCTATAATATTTTACCTCTCTTAGCTGTAATAGTAGAATGTATGTTTATGGTGCACAGACCCCAGCTCAATTAATAGCACTCCCCACCACCAAAGGCAGTTGAAGAAATCCTATTTAGACTTAAAAAAAAAAAACAACAAAAACTTCCCTCCATTTATCTTGGTGTCTTTGAAGAAAAATAAAATAAGTACACTTGAAACATGTGAATTATAAAAACAGTAAATTTACCAGTATCAGAATGCTGATTTGAGGATATTTCTTCCCCTCTCAGTTGACTTCTCAGCTGTAACCCTAAAACTTTAGTCTGTAGAAAAGAAATATCACATCACCTGTGAAGATTATGAGACATCCTTGAATTCAGAAGAAAGTAAGTCCCTTCCTCTACACAGCTGAGACACAGGGCATTTTCGATACTCTGGTGGATGGACCAAATCATCTATCAGCACTACCATGATACAAAAACTTTAAATAGCATCAGCCTTTGTGTGCAAATTCTATAATAATTACTCAGTAGAAATCTGTTTCCATAAGCTGTTTGAGTAGCCCTGGGGCACGAGAAAAGCAGTAGTAGATGTGGCCTTAAAGCGGAACATTCATGATCTAATGAGGATGGTGATTAAAAGAAGCAAGAAATCTTCCACAGAAATACTCGGCCAACCAACCATATCAGTGATATTAAACAGGAAACCATAAATTCAACAATAAATATTTATTGAGTGCTTGTTATATTAGACATTATTCTATGCACTGAGGATAGAACAATAAGCAAAAAAAAAAAAAAGAAGTGCCTACTGTCAGTGAAGTTTCTATTCTCAAAACAGTTTATGTCAGATGGTGATGAATGCTTTGGAAAAGAAGAAAACCGGGCAGGAGCGGGTGGAGATTGCTGTTCCATCCGCAGGGGCCACGGAAGCCGGTGCCTCATCTGGATCATTTGAGCAGAGTCCCGAAGGAAACGAGGGAGGGAGCATGCAGAGAACTGGGCAAAGAGGCTCTGTCTGAGGCAAGGACGGCGGGAAAGGAAGACAGGGAGCAGCTGTGTTTGCAAGTGTCCGAGGAACCTGGAGGCTACAGCCGGGTGAGAAGGCGGGTGGATTAGAAAATGCCAGATGATGTGGAGGGCGGCTGTTCAGGTCAGGGGAGTCCTTCTGATTTTACTGAGTGAGATAAGAGTTCACTGGAGGGTTCGGCGCCAGGCGGGCCGGCTCCTGACATTCACTGGAGCAGGTGGCAGTGGCTGGCAACTCTGTAGAGACGGTGAGAAGGAAGGCAAAAGGTGGGAGGCTGCTGCTTCTGCACTTGCAGAAATTCCACCAGGATCTGACTGTGACTTGTCCTAGGACTGTGGCAGAGCGCATGGCAAGAAGTGAGAGTTTCTGGACATCTGTCACCAACAGATTTGCCAATAGATTGTGTGAGGGTTTAAAAATAATTGTTGAAACAAAGTAAAAATAATTGTTGAGAGTAATTGCAATCTACTAGGGTGATGACCCTTCATAAATGGATGAACTGCTTAAAAATATTTCTGCAAAGAAATTGTGAACCCAAGATAATACAAAAATAAGGGAGCGGCCAAGAAACCGCCAAAGGTACACTTTTCCTCCTCCCACAAAATTGCAGTTGTCAAGAAGACTGCATAAGGAAGTACCCACTACTCTTAGCAATAAGCCTTATCCAAGTAAATACTGTTCCACCTGCTTCTTGCCAGTGATTGTTTGAAGCCATGCTGATGAATAAAACATGTTACCATAACTTTAAAAATAAGCAGAGGGAGCTTTAGTAATGTATTTAAGTAAGGCAAAAATTGTATTAAAAATACTCTTAATGATTTCAGCTCCCCCCGCCCCTTGATAGTGGTGGGGATCAAACCCAAGGCAAGAGCCCTAAAACTGAGCTGCGTCTCTAGCCCCTAAAACTAATTTTGATGTATGCTTTGTAGGATGTATGTACATGCATACGTGTGTGTGTGTGTGTGTGTGTGTGTGTGTGTGTGTGTGTGTATGGAGAGAGAAGGGAAAGAGAGTGATTAATGAAATAATGTATAAATAAACATAAAATACAAGCAACTGCAGTTGATGGTTGTTATGGCTGATACATTGTGTCAACTTGGGGAGTCTAGAGGTTTGGCTAAATGACTCAGCAGGAAGCCAGGATGCTTACTTTGTATACATCCTGAGCCTGTGGAAGAGGAGGGCATGGAGATTGTGTGAGAGCTACATGCCCCTTAGGTGGGGGTAGCCTGTTTACAGTGTAAGGCAAGAAAGAAGCTGCTTGCCGCAATTCCTCCCTTTTGCTCTGGCTGTTTGCTGTTCGGCTGCCATTCCCCACTTTGCTCTTGTTGCTTTGCTATCTTCTGCCTGGGAGCCAGCCAAGTATGGACTGAAACCTCCACAAACTGTAAGCTAAATAAACCTCTCCTTCCTTAATTTTGGGTGTTAGGAATTTTGTCTCAGCAACGACAGAAAAGTAACCAAAACAATGGTCAAGAGTCACAACTGTAACACCGTGCAAGGTGTGGAAAATTCTAGCAGAAACATTCCATAAACAAGGCTTTAATACTGGGATGGGAATTTAATGGGCTCAAGGTGAAAGAGGGAGTAAGAAACTGACATGAGGATATTAATTTACTTTTCCTCTGTGTAATGCTCTCATTTAGCAAGGGTTCTCCAGGTGGGTTCTGAGTTCATCCTCATATCCTCCCTGTGAAGTAGTCAGGGAAGATAACTCTTCTTTTCACAATGACTGAACTGAGACTTGAGTTGAGATGCTCTCTAGAGCTTATTCAGATGGAAATGGATAGGGCCAAGCTTCTGCTGGGACTCCTGGCTCCACAGACAGTTCTCCCTTAAGACACTCATTAAATATGCTTGATAAATTAAGTGCTTAATTCTAACTAAACATTGTACTAGGTTGCGTGGTGGCATCCAAAAGAGAGTCACTCTCTCTATTCCCATGAAGACTCCCACGTGAGATGAGAGAGATAGAACAGATGCCTATGAAACTGTTCATTAAATGTACAAAGCAATATATTTATAAAAGTGAAATGATAAAAATTTAGTCCATTAGGATTCTGAGGACAAAAAGTAAAACAGCACAGCAGATGATAGAGCTTCAGCGACAAGAGGTTCCCAGCTCAACCAATTTAATGAAAAAGGGAATTCACGGGCTCACAGACCTGAGAACTAAGGCGTGCAGGGCACAAACAGTATCAGCGGGAGTTCGTGAATCTCCATCGTTCAACACTCGGTTTCTGGGCCTTTCAGTATTGAAGATGTAACTCATAGCCTCGTGCATGGTAGGCCAGCAGGCTACCATTAAATTATGCACCACAGCCCATCCGTGCCTTACTTTCATTCATTTCCAGGCATGCCATCACCAGGTGCTGGTAATCAAATCCCAGCAGTTCCTGGATGAATTCCACAAGTTCAGCCTACACAGTGGAATAGAAAGCATCTTTTCCCTAATGGCGTGAGCAGGTAGGGCTCTCCTTAGCTTAGTGTTTTGCCTGTCTCCGAACCAAGTACTGGGGGTACGGAGGTGCTGTGTGGTGATTGGCTATACCTGTGTCACACATCCACTCATGGGCAGAGGTTAGAGGTGCGGTCAGCTCTGCATCAGGGCCTGGACTGAGTAGAAAGACGATCGATTCTCCAGAGGGAAATAGAAGTGTTCTCATTGGAAGAGAGAGTGGCTGTCGGAGGGCAAAGCCACAGAGATGCATTACGACAGGATAAGATTCCGGAAGGAAATAATTCCACTCCCAAATTTAGGGGAGTATTTGAGTTTAAGGAATTCTGTTGTGGTAGGTACAGGAGATTCATGAAATGTAGAAATGCAGACATACTCTACAGAACATGATTTGAGTTTTTAATACTTAACTTTTTCTTTCCTTTAAGTTTTAAAGACATTGCTACTTTATGCCAGGATGCCCTGAGCAGAGACTCATCATTGCTTTGTTATGCTTTTTCAGTCTCCACCCTCCTGAAGCTAGGTGCTCTTCTTATCTCTAGAGCCCCAAAGACATCTTTTCAAAACTTTTCCTGGCCGTCCCAGGTTCTCTGTGGTGCATTCTCCCCTCTGAAGGGCTGCCATTAGGAGTTGGAGTGGAGCTCCAGGGTAGTGTTTGTCCAGCTCACAGGAAGCTCTGGGTTTGACCCCCAGCATCCCTACCCCCAAGCTAAGAAGTAAGAGACAGTTGTCAGTACTCCCACTTCCCTGGGCTCCCCAAGTTGGGCCCTCTCCTCTTTCTAAGCTTGCATTTTCTCCTTTCCACAGAGGCTTGCAACTTTCCCTTTAAGAAAGCCTCTTCACTGTCTGTTTATTACGTGTCAACAATTCTTCAGTTTGCCTGTCTCTGAACCAAGTACTGTGGGTAGGGAGGTGCTCTTATCCCTGCCTCTCGCCCTTATATCATTATATCTGTTATATCTGCAGCTCTGTTGACCTCCAGTGCGACTTTGCATTTTGGAGACTGGTCACATGTTGCAAAGTCTGGCTGTAGAAGACAGACACTGTGTTTCCTGCTCCTCAGTGGCCTTTGCCTCTCCAGGCCCTCTCTGCTATAGTTCTGGAGTGGAGATGCTGGGATTCCCAGAGGAGGGCATTCACAAAGTGCTGGGAGTGCTCTGATGAAATTGATTGGGTAAATGGAAACATTTTTTTTTTTTTGCAACCACTCTATCTTGTAAGAACAAGTTGAATAAATGCAGTAGTTTACCATTTTTAAAATAATGAAGGTCCTTTGTCATTTTAATATTCTTTGAGGAGAGATTTATTTTCAGGAGCAAGAAACTAGAATGCTTGATGTGAAATGTTTAAAAAATAAATACAGGTGTGTTTTGACAGTTTTAAAGCAGCACTTTTATTATCAGTAATTGATTTAACATTTTGTTTAATCTTTCTAGCTTCTCTCCTGAAGGGTCTGAAACATGCCAATATCGTGCTCCTGCATGACATAGTTCACACCAAAGAGACACTGACATTTGTTTTCGAATACATGGTGAGTTCTCCAGTATTTTACAACACAGGAGGAACGAACCTAGTGCTTGGCTAATGAATCTGTTAATATTTTATGACATGATAAAACTTTCATTATGATGTGGAAAGTATGGCAATCTTTGTTATGATTAGTAGTGCCTTATTATAGTCACCTGTAGTCTGTTTCTTATATTTTTTGCTGTTCCTTTTCTCCCATTACCTCCTACATAAAAAAGTTTTATTTTTTCCAAATCTACTTTTAATCACGACTTAAGCAGAATACAACACTTTTTCACTGATGTTAAGGATATGTCATAAAATAGTTAAAACTGTATACAAAGACTAGATCACTTTGTATTTTTTAAAGAGAAAAGATTCAAGTGAGCAGAAACAAAACCCCATAAGGTATGTGTATTTGACTCGCCTCCAAGGACACTTGAAGAGGGCAAAGTTTCCGTGCTGGATTCAGTACTAGTCGAATAAAGTGAGCCAAGGAACAGGCTTCCTTCTATGAGCTGCCTGTGTTTCACCTTCACAGTGGGGTCTCAGAATACCTGGTTATATACCTTTCATTCCTTAGTCTACAAACCTAACTCTTCCTGCCTCTGGGAGGTCAGGCTTCAGGTGGCTTTAGGACACTGCCCCTACACTCCTGAATTCACCGTCTTGTCTTCTCTTTCTGCTGTATTGTTTAGCACACAGACCTGGCCCAGTATATGTCTCAGCACCCAGGAGGGCTACATCCTCACAATGTCAGGGTGAGTACTTGGGGGGCTCCTTCTGGCCTGCCCAGAGAAGTTTTGAAACAGGTTTCCGTCACAGAGCAAAGTCCCGTGGCACTAAGGAAGAACATAAATATAAGTGATATTCTAGAGAAAAGTTTTTTGAAAGAAAAAAAGCTGGTCCTCAAGTGCTGGATCAATGTTCAGCTATTTGCTGGGCAGCCTATCCCCTGTCCGTCACTGTTACCATACAGATGTATCTTTAGAGTTCACATGAATTACAAAGAATGGTATCAAAAGAAAGAAGTAAAGCCAGGCCATCATAAAATAAATACCTTCTTCATGGCGGATCACTGCAGTTTATGATAAAGTTTGCAATGCTTATTCTCGCTGATCCTCTTGTACACATGGACTAAATTTCATTTTCCTGTCAGTGGACTAGAAATAACAATAAACTAGTAATGAGCTGTACTTCTACATCTGTTCATTTTAGAAACCATTTGTACTTCATACTTCTCATTTCCTAAGGTTGTATGGCATTAGTGAATTGATTGACTCTTAAAATAACCATATGAGATTTGTATATGGTGTATTTATTCATTTAACTAATATTCATTTATGGATTCATTTATTCATTCACTCAAGCAATATTTATTCAATATGTATTCTATATTAAGTTTTGGTTTCAAAAATGAATAATTTGTGTTTCTTATTTTCAATACACTTGAGTACAATTAGCTATATGGACTTCCCAGGGCAGAAGCAAAGTGCTAAGCACAGTGGCTGTGCCCTCTGGGAGTACCATGGGAGCACACAATACCGTGTGGGGACCTAACCTCGTCTTGCAGTCAAGGGTTTGGAAAGAAAAGTTTGAAGACAAAAAGTTGTGGAAGGTGAAGTAAAAAGTGAAAGTAACCATGTGGAGAATGGGAAAAAGAACTAGCCAGGAAGTGAGGAAGGACTGGTTAACAGTGTGTTAAGGACCCAGGTGAGGATAAAGACCATAGGATTTTTTTAAATGGTGATATTTAACAATTCAAATAGAGGAACAGAGGAAAAAGACATTTGGATTGATTCAGAGGTGTTTTGTAAGACCTGTAAGAAGTGGAGCAAGATAGTTGAGGACAAGTACTATACAGAGAGAAGTTCAGCTGAGTGAAATTGCTGGTCAGTGGCTTTTTGGTCTACCCTGAATGTAGGAAGTGAAGACAGTCAGGTTGCTAAGAAAAGGAGGGAAGCGTGAAGGAACTACAGGTGTTGATTAAATAAAAGGACAGCGGGAGGAAGAATAACTCCGAGAGAGAAAACTGTGCTAAATAGTAGGAAGGATTGAAAGATCAGAAGACATGATTCCTGCCCTCAAGGGACTTCCTTGTAAACACAGAAGATAAAAAACACACACCAGTGCTATAACAGGACATTTGTGGATAGCGTTATGTAAGAAATTAGACCTGGTGCTGTAGATGTGCAAAGAAGTACAAGTTATCTTCTGGCTTGAAGAGGCTTTGGACTTTAAAAGAGGTGCTGTGTTTGAAGAGGCTGAACGCCTATTAGTTAAAGATCGTCCTGAGGGAGGGAATGTTCTCAGCAAAGGCACCAGGAGAGTCAAAGACGCCCTAAAGCAAGAGGATCCCAGAGTTTTGTGCTGTGAAGGACAAAGGGTTCACTGTTTTTCAATCTACAGATTATTAAATCAATTGGCTAGCAGCCAGTATTTTTCAAATGAAATAAAATAGATGAGACAAGAATAGCAAAATTAGAGTACATGGCACTTAGAGCAAGTATTACTTTGTGCAACTTTTACTCTAGCTGTAACTGTATGTATATTTATGTGTGTGTGTAAACACTGGATGTACAGTTTCTGACAATGGATTGCCATCAACAAGGCTTTAAAAACACAGAGTAGGTCTGACTTCCTTGTGCAGAAGAGGAACCCAAAATTTAAGAAGAAAAATATTTTGCCTGAGGTCTCAAAACCAGATTTTACTATTACTAAAAGTGACTCCTAGGGGCTGGGGATTTAGCTCAGTGGCACAGCGCCTGCCTGGGAAGCACAAGGTCGTGAGTTCAATTCCCGGTACCAGAAAAAAGAAAAAAAAAAAAATTTACTCCTGGTTAAGGTTCTTTTCACTAATGCCATACTGCACTGCTGGCTCTGTCACCCTGAAATATAGGGAATATTCATGACACAGTCTGTGGAAGCGGATTGGGAAGGTGGCTGAGAGCCTCATTTTCCAGGAATGACAGGCTTTATTCCTTAGACAACATACTGTAAGAGCTGTAAGAGCTCGAGTTGAGAGGGAATGACACAAAGAAAAGAGAAATGACTGTGGTCTGTGGGAAGGGTTAAAGAAATGGAGACTGCAGTCAGGATTCCAGTCAGGATTGTAATCATGTAGTGGCGGCTCACGCTTCTCAGGCGTCAGGGACCAAGTGACCAAGGGATCCGACTCAGTAAGTCTAGGGTGAAACCTTGGCTGCTGCATTTCTGACAAGATCCAAGGTGCTGCCAATGCCTGGTGGAAGAACACACTGAGTAGTAGAGATGCAGGTGAGAAGTCCCAAAGGCTACATTTACGGTAGTGATGTTAAGAGTGTTACTCCATGTGGAGACCCATGAAATAGTCTTACAGAAGGAGGAATAGACTCAGATGTTCTCTTTTCTAATGCTTACTCTGATAACAATGTGGTGAATATATTGAAAGAAGGAAAACACTCTTTTTTTGAAATGTAAAATTTTCTTGATCCAATATTCTCCCCATTCCCCTTTCTGTGCACCCCCTCACATGGTAAATGGACTTCTCCTCTGCTCAGTCCCTCAGTGCTGATGTCGCATAGGTCCCAGCCTTGACACTGAGGCTAATCAAGACAGCAGGGGTACAAATGATAGCACAGGAAAGATGATAGATTGCAATCAATTACTGAGTCAGAATTGATGGGTAAAAGAAGAATCAGCAGGAATTTTGTAGCATTTGTTTGTGTGTTTGTTTGTTTTGAGACAGGGTCTCACTGTGTAGTTCAGGCTGGCCTTGAACTCACTACACAACCCAAACTGGCCTTGAATTCATGGTAATCCTCCTGCCTCAGCCTCCTGAGTGCTGGGATTATAAGTGTGTGCCATCACCACTGGCTTTTACAGCTTTTTAAAAGATGAATGGTGGTGCCATTTGTTGAGATAGAGGAATAGAAATAAGGTGGATTTTGGAGGTATATAGTGAATTATATTTTGGATATGTCGAGTGAGGTGATTATGGGATGTCCAGATGAAATTTAGACCATAAGGTCTAAAGGTCAGAAAAGAGATCTGAGTCAGGGATAAAGATTTTGAAATGATCAGACTATAATGGTTCCTTGAAGCCATGCCAGTAGGTAAGATGCTAAGGGAGCAGATGTACTAGAGTGTCAAGGGAAGGTCAAGAGTATCGTCCTAAGCTATAGCAATATATTCAACAGCAGTAGAAGTGAACCTATGAAAAGAATAGCCAGAGAGATAGGAGTAAAATTAGGAGACTGTGGAATCACGGAGGAAGGTGAGGAAGTGAGGGTGAACAGAGAGAGCCCTTAGGAAAGAAAACATGATCAGCATTGTCAAGTGCTGCAAAGATAAGAAATAAGAGGTGCTGGATTTCATAGTAAAAAACATTGATGATCACAGTAAAAACATTTATGAATGAAGTGATCATCACAGCAGCCTCTTTATAAGGACATGACTTTTACACTTCGAGGACAAACGGTTCCATATGATAGTAAGATCTAGTGTGGGACCATGACAGACTGTGGCTTCAGTGAGTGGGAGCAGCAGATCCTGAGCACTGAGGAGGTGGCCTAGATTCACTCTCATGAGCACTGACGCCGGGAGGCCACAGCTGTGCTCCAGATGCCCAAGTCTTTGGTGAGTGATGGAAAGTGACCCGGAGTTCAGAAGATGAATATAAAGAAGGACAAAGGAAGATGCAGTGGGATGGTACGAAAATCCAAAGGGCACCAAACTTCAGGGTGGAACAGTAATATCTTTGACATGGCTTTGAGGAAGGAGAACAGCATCTCCCACCTTTCAGTGATCAAAGTTATGAAGGGAATGTAAAAAAGCTCACACACACTTGAGAATGCTGTGGCAAAACAGAGAGCTCCCATCTCATTCAAGGAAAGAAGCCAGAAGAAAATGCTTCAGAGTAGGCTGGGGCTGGAGCACTTGCGTGGTATGCACAAGTTCCTGGGTTCAATCCCCAATGCTGCAGTAAGAAAAAGAAACTGCAGTGTTTAGCCTTTGGGGAGTTTGAAATCAGGAATGAGGAGTAGACAGTAAAGAATGAAAAGATTAGGGAGAACCAGGCATAGTGACACAGGCCTGTAATTGCATCTGCTGAGGAAGCTGAGGCAGGAGAACCACAAGTTTAAGGCCAACCTGGGCCATTTAGTGAGCCCCTTCTTGTTTCAAAAACAAAATTTTAAAAACTATTAAAGGGCTAGGGATGTATCTTAGTGGTAGAACGCTTACCTGGCATACTCAAGGCCCAGGGTTTCAATTGCTACTGGAGTAGGGGGTGAAGTTTGAGAGAGAAAAGAGTAATAGATACTGGGTTCAGTGAGAAGCACAGAGGAGTATGGGAGAAAAGTAATACTTAACGGCTTATATTTTAAGAAGTGACCAAGACAGACAGGGTGGGAATCCTATCGAGGTTACCTTGTTTCAGATTTCTAATAGAAGGAGTCCCAGGGATCCCTACAGGGGGAGGGACTCAAGCTCCCCAGCGGCATGGATCTGGCCAACTGATCAACTGTATTTCTGTGAAGCTCCTAACCCATGTAGCACTAGCCCGACAGAATCGTCGTGTCCCCACCAAACCTTCCTGTGTTACAAACAGGTCTGCCCTGGGGTAAGGGAAGCCACCCTGGAAAGAGTCACCTGAGGCCTGGCTTGATGGTGACTGAGAAAACACCATTGGATTTGGTTATATTCCGATGCAGTAATTGTTGAAGGAAAAATCCAGGTTGCCTGGGATGACAGAGTGAGTGGGTGGTAAGGTTAATCAGCATAGTCTGCACTTTGAAGACGTGGCTGTGAAACCATCTCTTGACACCGCATGGCAGTGCCATTTACAGATGCTCAGAGACGCCTAAGAAGCAGAGAGGACAGGACCAGCAGCCAGGAGGTGGGAGGTGGGAGGAGCTCATAGGGAGAACTGTCCGCGCTTGAGGCAGGAAGGGCATCTCAAGCTGACCCACAGGGAAGCTCCGTCTGACTCAGCCAGCCGCCTCCCTCCTTCCTGGCATGACATTTTCTGTCTTTTCTCCAGATTCTGAAGACAGTGTAGCGAAGTCACATGGGTATAAATTTGAGCCTTCTAGAGTGCTGGGGTTGCAGGCGTGAGCCAGCACACCCTTCCTAGACGTATTTTAGTTTTCCTTGAGTCCTGAGTTTTGAATCTAGAAAATGAGGACACATTTTCATCGAAGGACTGCACCCCTTCCTGATCACCATTTTCTTTGTGCTGTCCCTCATGTGCCTTTAGCTCCCTCTTCCCTCCTCTTTGAAAAGCATTTTTAAGCACATCCTGTGGTATGTTGTACGTTGCCTAGAATTAAAGTTGATTCTTTACATTGTCTTTTCTATGAACATTTATATTTAGGACTAGTGCAAATGCAGAGAAATTTTGTGTTTTGGCCGCTGAGTGGTGCGGTGAGCAGTAAAATGAATAGTGTGGATGTTGACTCACGGAGAAGAGTAGTAAGTTCTGGGAAGGCTCGGGACTAGGAAACATCTGAGGGGTCATGAATATCTAACGAGGGCTGGGAATGTAGCTCAGTGGCAGAGTGCTTGCTGCACATGCTTCAGGACCTGGGCTTGATCCCCAGCGCACGTGTGCACGCGGACACACACACACACACACACACACACACACACACACACCCCTAACCTGCTTAAAGTCTCGCGAAGCTGCCATGGAACCAGCCCGCATACAGGTTGCCGTGGTAGACAGAGCTCTCAGATTCCAGCTTCGGTCGTGCTCTGCTGCCCCCCGCTGTCTTCCTATCATTGTGAGGTCGGTACTGGTCCCGGCAGCCCTGGAGTTCCCTAGTTTCCAAGACGTCACGACAAAACAGATTTATCCACAGAACTCTGCCTCTGACATTTCGCCTGTGTCCCCAGGAATGCTCAGCCTGACCCTTTTTTTCTAAACTGCCAGAACGTGTTCTCAGGTGGCACAGGACTGTGTAAACACGAATGCTGGTGTTTGAATTCTCTGTTGCCAGTAGCACTGGAAAATAGCAAGTTATATTTAGAATACTACGCATTTTTTCTCCTTTTAAGCTTCTTTATGTTGGTGAGAACCGAGTAAAAAATAAAGTCTTTAGTTTCTGTGTTTCATAACCACAAGAAACACTTTAAAACTGGGGGTCAGAATGTATTTTTCTTTTTTCCTTTCCACCAACGCCCTTTCTCCTTTCTTCTCCCTATTTACTCTTTATTCCCTCCTGGGTTCTCCTTTCTTCTCCCTATTTACTCTTTATTCCCTCCTGGGTTTTGGGCACAGCCTAATTTCATTTGTTCTTTCTTTCCTCTTAACCTGTACTGTGTATTTCTCTTATTTTCGACTTAGAATTTAAGACTTCAAAAATAAGTTTTAAAAGATAATGATTTCTTTATTTCCTAATGCCATCTAAGGATGTATTTCCCAATTGAGTTTCCTTGTATTGTGTTTTTAAAAGGGTTTCATATCTACAAGTCTGGAAAACTTAAGCAGTTGTAAACTTTAGAATATCATTTCCAAGTCAACTTTAATCTTATATGGCAAGTTCATTGGTGGGGAGAAATATTTTTCACCTCTAAATCAATAGCTAGTGTTCCCAGGGAAACTTCAATGTTTCTCTTTAGATTTTTAAGGAAGGGCAATTCTTTCAGTATCAAAGAAATGAGATGTCAGGAAAAGCCAGAATCCTTTTGTTTAGGATGTAATCTAGTTAATTTTCCTTGTCTCTTTTCTCTCCTTCTGAATGAATGTAAAATTTTTTTCAGTCTCTCAAGACACACTTTCACTACATTCTTTTTTTCTTTTTTTTTTTTCACTACATTCTTTTAGAGGATTATTTTTTATTGAGAGGCAAAATCAATACTTAGTGGCTTAAATGTCCTTCTTGTGATGTTCATTCTTTCCAGCTTTTCATGTTTCAACTTTTGCGGGGCCTGGCGTACATCCACCACCAACATGTTCTTCACAGAGACCTGAAACCTCAGAACTTGCTCATCAGTCACCTGGGAGAGCTCAAGCTGGCTGATTTTGGTAAGTTGCCTCCTGTGTCTCCTTCGAGGCTGGGAACAATGCTGCTTTTGTGTGCACTGTGTGAAGCATGGACGAGGCTTGGCCTTTGGAAACTGGGGACCGGGAGCATGATGCTTTGTGAGGGTACCAAACTGCCCTGCAGGGAACATGGGGCAAGAAAGACGGAGGAAGTGGTCGCTTCTTGGGATTCCCTCAAGCTCCAATCTAGTCAGATGCCCAAAACTTACCCTCCCACACACTGCCTCACTGCCATTTTTGATAGACATTTGTAGACTTCAGGTTTCCCTGTATCTGAGCAGATACTACAAGTTCTGTCAGAAACAATTAAAGTTATCCCAGCCAGGAGTGGTGGCACTCACCTGTAATCCCAGCCCTTGAGAGGCTGAGGCAGGAGGATCACTGTGAGTTCAAGGCCAGCCTGGACTACATAGTGAAACCCTTTCTAAAAAAAAAGACTAAGGTTATTCCAAGATAGCAGAATAAAGAGATCAACCCCACATTATAGCATGGACAACTATAGGAATACACACCTGTTCTTACTTGCCTAAGTATGTAAATGTAAATCTAACTGTATTCCCATGAAAGCGGCATGGACTTCCTGTATCCTTTATCTTTCTCTTTTCACACTTACTATAGTTTATAACTGTATTCATGCACAAAAACATTTCATACATCAACCATGTTGCACACACAACATATACACAGTATATATATACATAATATATATACATGTGTGCATCTGTATGAATACACACACACACACACACATATGATTTGTTTCTCTTCTCCTAGACTTTAGACATTAGGAAGGTAGCTGGGTCTGGTCTGCTTTTGCTTATTAGTTTCCCTAGTTCCTGATGTCACAGTAGGTGTTCAGCAAAGGCTTGTTGACACACTGGTTCCATAAGAGCCAAGGAACCACTCTCCTCTGTTTGGCACATACCAAATGGGATCCAGGACATTATTCTGAGGTAGTGAGCATTTAACAGGCACTAATTTACCAATTCTTCACAACAGCGAACTCCTCTGTGAAGTTTTCCCAGCTATAGATCCTGTCATTCAGCAAGATAAGCAGCCAGCTGACAAATCACACTCATTTTGCAGAGCAGGACTTGAGAGAATCATTTCAGGTCCCACCACACTAATTTGGATCAGCACTTCCCACCCTTTATTTACTGCACTGGGCGTTCCTGAACTGCAAAAATGGAGAGCAGACATGCTGAGTTTGCTCAGTCGCTGTTCCAGAGACCCCCTAGTTACAGATATATATCACATCGGAAACTTAACATTTTCTCACACACCAGTTCTGACCCAAATAGTCAGTACTTGTATGGTCGCCCTCCGGCACCTTGGGGTACGCTTCATCTGTCACGTTGCTCCATAACACCAAAGATATTTCCCTAATAATATATTTCAAGATAGTTGCCACTTGCTGTTCATGACAGCTCAGAGGATGTGGAAAAGGGAAGCAGAATACTTGACTCCTCCATTAATGCATGACCGAGAAGATCACACTTTACCTGTATTCATGTCATTCAGGCAAGAACTGAGTCACTTATCCACACTTAGCACCAGGAAAACCACTTCTAACTACAAAGCAGGTGAAAATTTGAGAAATCTTCTTGATGAACTGATACACAGGGTTAAGATAGTTGAGTGGTTTTACTGAGAGCATTCAATCTTTGAGATGTAATATTTTTTAGATATTGGTTACTCTGCCAGTTACGTATGCCTAGTAAAGTACATCTCCGTGTCTCCCAGGAAGGTGTAGGACAATGGGTCTATGCTTTTCCCCTTTGGGCAGGTCTTGCTCGGGCCAAGTCCGTTCCCAGCCAGACGTACTCTTCAGAAGTTGTGACCCTCTGGTACCGGCCCCCGGATGCTTTGCTGGGAGCCACTGAATATTCCTCTGAACTGGACATATGGTAAGAACTAGTGCCAAGAAAATGTGAGTCATCCTGCCTATGAGGGTTGCTGATTATCTGTATTAGGTTTTTAATAATAAGGATAATCACTCATATCTATATACATAGAAGCACAAGATGCTTCCAAATGCAAATCTGACTTGATTTTTGCAATCATTCTATGCGTTTTTGCAGTTAAGAAACTGAGTTCCAGAGAGGTCCTGCCCAAGGCATCTTCCGCACACAGTGCTCTTTCTACCACGCTCATCTTCCCGACTCCTCACTTCAGCACTTTACCCTTTCTTCTCGCTGACACCTTCTCCTCAGAGAAACACACATGCACTCCCAAGCCACAGATACAATGCCTGTACAGCCACACCACACACTCACATGTGCCTAAACACAGCGCAAAGCCCAGGGGAAAGGGATAAAGACTAAAATTCAGGAGACCTAATTTTTGTGTCCATTCTATTCTTAATTGATTATCCCGGATTCTGTGATCTTGAAGAAAACTCATGGGGCTGGGGATGTAGCTGAATAGTAGACTACTTTCCTGTAGTGCATGAAGCCCTGCGCCCAATCCCCAGCACCACACACACACACACACACACACAGTCATGTGTCCTCTTTATGTTCATGTTTCTCCATTTTAAAAATGAGTGTAATAAACTCTCCCCTCCAGAGGATAGATGGGACAGTAGAGGAAATATAGTAACCAGATATGTGCATCAAGCCAAGCCATATATTTGGGGAGGGTCTCGGGTTAGTGGGGTACAGATGTGAGCATGGGATCTCAGGCATTCATCGTCCTAGAACAGCAGTGTTGTGTTACCTGGATCTTACTCCTGGAGCTGCCCCAGTCGTCTGGGGGCCCATGGCTGGCTGTGTGGTGACTTTACAGACATAGCCAACTCCTCAAAGGCACTAAAATACACAGACCTGCTTCAAGGTCTTAGAAGACAGGCTCTGTTCCGAAAAATCAATAATAGATTTTTAAAAAATTAAACATTCCCCTAAAAGGCTAATCTAAGCTTTTAGATTTCCTAAAGAATTAAGAAGGCTGCAGAAATTTTCCTTCAGTGTATCTAGAATCAATGAGTCTCTGATACCCGGTACCATTTCTGGAACCCTCGCCTGCCGTCCAAGTCCTCCTGAAACTGTCGGCTCCCTTGCTGTGCTGTCATTTCAAAGGCGTCTGCAGGCTTAGGCATGCTCCACTCTTTTTTTTTTTTTTTTTTTTTTTTTTTGGTTTTTCTCCGGTACCGGGAACCGAACTCATGACCTTGCGCTTGCCAGGCAGACGCTTTGCCGCTGAGCTAAATCCCCAGCCCCGCATGCTCCACTCTTAATGATATCTTCCTGTTGTGTTTCAAGGGCAGAGAGTGAAACTTCTACCCATCTCAGTTTTAAACTTTGTTTTATTAGAAATATTTAAAGCATCTAAAAATATATATAACATATATGTGGATCAGTGGTTCTCAGTTTTCTCAATTCAATTTTGCCTTCCAGGGGACTTTTGGCCATGTCTAGAGATGTTATCTGCGGTCATGGCTGTGTGTATGGTCAGGGGGTGCCCTGGCATCTAATGCTACTCAACACCCTGCAATGCAAAAAGCAGTTCCTACAACAAAGGCTTAGGCAGCCCAAGATGTTATGGTGTGGAGACTGAAAAAGTGATATGGATTAAGAAGCATAATACAGTGAACTCCATAAAGCCATTACCCAGCATCACAGCTAGAACATAATCAGTACTGTCACACTGACTTGTGCATTTTCCACCAACCTGCCCCTCCACTAGAGGGCTTCTACCTGAATTTTATTTTATTTTATTTTTTGTCCATAACCCCTTTTAAAATAATATTTTCACCTTTTATTCATTTTCTAAAATATATTGTTTTATCTGATTTTCACCTTTTAAGAAAATGGTGCTTTATTGTACTTGGTCTTCTGTGATTTGCTTTCTCTTCATGCAATATGTTTCTAAGGTTCATCCATGTTGGTCTATGTCCCCATGCTTTATCTCTTGTTGATGAATATTTTGATTATTCACTTTGTTTTCTGTTTTGTTTGTTCCTGCTATTTTGAACAGAATCAGTATTTATATTTAAGGATTTCTCTAGCATACTTACCTACGGCTAAATGTGCCATGTCCCAGAGGGTGTGAATATTCAACTTCATAAAATATACCAGGTTGTTTTCCAAAGTGATTGTAACAGTTAATACAACAGCAGTGTATTAAAGCACCTACGCCACATCTACACCAACTTCGTAACATCAGAATTCTTAATTTTTGTCAAGCAAATATATAAAGTGGTATCATGTTGTGATTTAAATTTGTATTTCCCTGCTTACTAATGAAGTTGGCCATCTTTTTTTGGATTATGTGCTCTTCCGCTGGTCTACTTATTTGTCTTTTGTTCATTTTCTGTTGGTCTCTGTCTGTCTCCCTCCCTTTCTTACTGATTTATAAGAATTTTTCATAATTCTGGATAGTAATTTTTATCAGTTATGTGTGTTGCAAGTAGTGTCTCCCAATTCAGGGCTTGTTTTCATATCTTGATGTCCTTTTGAACAAGATTCTTAATTTTAATGTCGGCAACCTTATCAATCTTTTCTTATATAGTTAGCCTTTTTCTGTTTCTTGCTTTAAAAATCCTTCCTTCCCTGTCTTGAATATTCTTTCAAAAGTTGTGAAGTTTTTTCTTTTTACTTTAAATCTAATGCACTGATGTTGGCTTTTGTATATGCTAACCAATTGTCTCACCCCAGTTTCTTCAGTGGTATACCAGGCTAAATCGCTTACATATCAAGTTTTCATAAATGCAAAGGTCTGTTTCTGTACTTTCTATTATGTTCCACTGGGATCAATTTATTTGTCCCTGTGCCAGTGCCACACTATATTAATTTCCATAGCTGTATAATAATAATTGATAGCTTAGAGGACACCCACTCCATAGCTCAGTGGCACAGCGCCTGCCTGGCAAACACAAGGTCATGAGCTCAATTCCCAGTACAAAAAAGAAAAAAGAATATCCTGAAGTCAGGCAAAGTGGTGCACACCTGCAATTCTAGCTACTCAGGAGGCCGAGGCAGGAGGATAACAAGTTGGAGGCTAGCCTTGGCCACTTAGTGAGGCTCTGTTTCAAAAGTTAAAATAAACTGGGCTAGAAATGTAGCTCAGTGCAAAGGCCCTGGGTTCAATCCCCAGTACAGCAAACAAGCAAAAAATAATAATAATAAAAAGGCTGGATGTGTAGCTCAGGGCTAGAGCACTTGCCTAACATGTATGAGGCCTTGGGTTCAGTCTCCAGTAATGATACCCTGATTTCTCTTCAGATCATATAAATCTTTTGCCTTTTACTAAAGATTTCCATGGAGAGGATCAATCTCCAGTAATGAAAAAAAAATGACTTTTTTCTCTGCTGAGTTTTCATATAAATTTTATATTCAGTGTTTCAAGTTTTATGAAAATTCCTAATGTAATTCCTAATGGAATTACATAGAGTTTATAGAATACTTTGAGAATAATTAACATGTTACAATATTGTCCTCCAATTTTTGAACATGGTATGTCTTTCCATATGTTTAATTCTTTAGTTATTTTTGGTAAATTTTTATATTTTTTGTCTAAGGTCCTACATATTTAGAAGCAAAAATTCTTTTTTTTATAAAATAAACTTTATTGAAAAGCAATTGTACTTCCACCTCGTGGTGGCAAACAAAAACAAACACATCATTTACAAGAGCATTAACATGTGAAATAGCGATAAAATGCACCACAAAATTTATAAGACTTACATGCAGGAAACTCGAAAGTATTGCAGAGAAATTGAAGATTTCAAGAAACATTTTAAGGTGAAACACTTGAAAATAACAATTTTCCAAAACCTCATCTGATAATCTCATTCTAATGAAAATTCCAGTTTTTTGAATTGACAGGCTTTTCTAAATTTGACAAAGACTCAAAATCATTAAAACAATTTTGAAAAGGAAGAAAAACTGTAGAAAGCTAACAAGACACTATTTGTAGAATTAATATACATTTATAACATCTTATTTACTCTTTGAGCTTCTTACACTAGAGAGGCAATATGATGCTTATACATATGAGTTTGATTTATTTCACTTATGAGTATGGAGTCAAGTTGCATCCATTTAGCTGTAAAAAGCACCAGTTTATCCTTTATTATGGCTGAGTAATACTCCATTGTATAAAAAGACCACTTTTTTAAAACCATTCCTTGGTTGATGAGCATTTGGGTTGTTTCCAAAATTTACAAAATTACAAGTTGTGTTGCTATAAACATGGGTGCACATATATGGCTGTAGTATGATGTTTTTAATTCTTCTGGGTAGATACCCAGAAGAGGACTAGCTGGGTCGAATGCAACCTCTAATCCTAGATTTTTGAGAAATCTTTACATTGATATCCACAGTGGTGTCACTGGTCTACACTCCCACCAGCAGTAGAGAAGGATTCCTTTTTCTCCACAGCCCCTCCAGCATTTGTTATTGGTTTCTTGATAATAGCCATTCTTTCTGGGGTGAGAAGGAATCTCAGTGTTTTTTAAATATACATCTCTCAAATAATCAGTGATATTCAATATTTCTTTATATATTTATTTGCTGTTTATTTTTCTTCATCTGAGAAGTGTGTATTCATCTCTGATGCCCATTTTGGATTGGATCTCTGAATTTGGGAGGTCTGATTTTTTTGAGTTCTTTATAGCTCTCCATAGTAATCCTTTGTCTCAGGAAGAGTTAGCAAACATTTTTTCCCCACATTGTGGGTTGTCTGTTCACTCTGTTGGTGGTTTCTCTTGCTGTGCAAAAGCTTTTTAATAAGATGAGATCCCAGTTATTCTTTGTGATAGTTCCTGTGCAATTAGGGTTTTATTCATAAAGTCTTTGCCTACGCCAATGTCTTCAAAAGTTTTTCTGATTCTGTCTTCCAGCAGATTTAATGTTTCTGTTTATTTATTTATTTATTTATTTATTTATTTATTTATTTATGTCTTTTTGAGACAGGGTCTCGCTATGCAATTCAGGCTGGGCTGGAGCTCACTTTGTAGTCCAGGCTAGTCTCAAACCCACAATGATCCTCCTGCCTCAGCCTCCCAAGTGCTGGGATTATAGGCGAGTACCACCACGCCTACCTATAATGTTTCTGTTTTAATATTTAGATCTTTGATTCATTTCAAAGTTAATTTAGTGCATGGTGAAAGATATGGGTCCAATTTTAATCTTTGATATGTGCAAAGCCAGTTTTTTCAACACCATTTATTAAAGAGGCTATCTTTCTTCTAGTGAAGGTGTTTGGCACTTTTGTCAAAAATATGGTGGCTGAGTATGTCTGGAATTGTTTCTGCATCTTCTAATGTGTTCCACTGATCTTCGGGTCTGTTTTGTTGTTGTTGTTGTTGTTTTTGTTTTTGTTTTTGCCAGTACCACTCTGTTTTTATCACAGTAGCTTTGTAGTATAAGTTCCAGTTGAGGATTGTGATGCCTTGTGTTTATTACCCAGAATTGCCTTTACTATTCAAGGTCTCTTCTGGTTCCAAATGAACTTTAGAATTGTTTTCTCTAATTCTATGAGATATGCTGTTGGAATTTTGATCAGAATTGCATTAAATCTGTGTAAAAGTTTTGAAAGTATAGCCATTTTCACTATATTGGTTCTTCTTACCCAAAAGCAAGTGGTATCTTTGCATTTTCTGATATCCTCTTCAATCTCCTTTTTCAGAGTACTATAGTTTTCAATGTATAGGTCTTTTACATCCTTCAATAGATTGATTCCTACGGATTTCATTTTTGTGGATGCTACTGTAAAAGGTGTTGTTTCCCTAATTTCTCTCTCAAGGTTTGTTATTTGTGTATAGGAAGGCTATTGATTTTAAGTGGTGACTTTGTATCCAGCTACGCTACTGAATTTGCTTATTAAACCTAGAAATTTTTAGTGGAGTTTTTGGGGTTTTCTATATAGAGTATCATGTCATCTGCAAATAATAGTTTAACTTCTTCCTTTCCTATCATTATCCTTTTATTTCTTTCTCTTGTCTAATTCCTCTGACTAAAATTTCCAGGACTATGTTGAATAAGAATGGAGACAGTGGACATCCTTGTCTTGTTCCTGATTTTAGAGTGAAAGCTTTCAGTTCTTATCCATTTAGTATGATGTTAGCTGTTGGTTTGTCATAGATAGCTTTTACTGGATTGAGATGAAGACCATCTATTCCTATTTTCTGTAGGGTTTTTATCATGAATCGGTGCTGGGCTTTGTTGAAAGCTTTTTCTGCATCTATTGAGATAATCATATTTGTCTGTGGCTCTGTTAATATGATGTTACATTTATTGATTTACATATGTTGACCCATCCCCACATCCCTAGGGTGAACCCAACTTGGTCATAGTATGATCTTGATGATTTGCTGCATTCTGTTTGCCAATATTTTATTGAGGATTTTTGCATCTATGTTCATTAGGGAAACTAGCCTGTAGTTCTCTTTCTTAGTTGGGTCTTTCTCGGGCTTTGGTATCAGGGTAATGCTTGAATCTGTCTTATAGATTCCATTTCTTTCCTATGTTGGCCATTCACGACTTCCATCATTTTCTTAAACGTCTCAATTTTTTTTTTCTGTATCTGCATGAGAGTCACTAAGCGTGGCTGTCACTGTGGACACCATCTCTACAGTTATCTGAAAAATTATTTGATTTTTTCTAAAGCCTCATTCAATTGCTTTCTTGTTACCACTTCAGAGACACCAGCTGGGTGTCTTTCAGATGACTGTCCCACCTCAGTGGCCCCTGGGTTTGCCTTTGGTGAACAAATGTCTGGGGTTATGTCTTGTTTAAGTGTCTTCTCATTTTCTTCCTCTTTATTTTTAGTTTAATTCCTGGGGTTAAGCTTGTAAATTGCCTGTGGTGGGTTGCTTTATTGCTAGTATTTATAACCCTTAGGAAATGAGTACTTCTCCAAGGTGTCTTCCAGGAGTAGCTGGTTTGGGGGTTTTGAGTCTGCTTCAAGATCCTACCTCTTCAGTTTGTTAGGGATAAGAAGTTGCTGCCTGCTTGGCGCAGCCACTGGTTCTTTGGCACTCTGCCACAGTACCTTTCATGACCTAAGTCAATCTCAGTCTTGGAACACCAAGAAGAACAGCTGGTTAGAACAATTATGCCACCCCTAGCTAAAGTAGTGCCCAGTAATAACAATAGCATCAAACACAGCCTAGAAAATGACAAACTGAGGTAACCACCACTTTTCCACCTTTAACTGCATGAACCAGCTTTGTGGTTATATAACAAAATCTAAAACAAACCAGGCAAAAGTTCTTCCAAGTCTAATTTATTTTCATTTGTTTCTTTTGGTTCTTGCTTATAGTATCTTTTTTTCCTGTGTATATCTAGTTGTTTTTGACAATGATGTATTTATTTGCTTTGGAATTTTATTTTGGGAATTTATTTAAGAACTTAAATGTGATGGGTATCCTAAGAGAGAATTTGCATTTGCTGGCATATATTTTTAATGAAATTTATTAATATATTTTATCCTATGTGTTGGTCTACTACCCAGATCTTGATTTCTTTAAACCATCGTTTAGTAAATAGAGCAAGGACTCATTGGAGAAATGGTTAGTTCTGGAGACAGGACAGGGAATCTACAAGAGTAGCCTGGAGGACCCGTGGGAGCCAGAAAATTCTCTTACAAAGTGATGCAAACATACCATTAGGAAGCAATTTGAAAAGGCTTCCATTAACTAGATTTGGGACAATTTGAGCATCAAGATAAATATTTAGAGTATGGTTTATAATCTAAAATAAGAATATGTAAATCCTAAAGTAAAACTTCATAAATTCATACTGAAGATAGCTAGCTAGCCAATTAGATATATAGGAAGAGAAGCTCCTACATTAGAATACCAATTTATAACTGACTAAGAAATGATGAGTTTGGAAAATCACTATTTTAAAACCATTAGAGAAGTAATTAGTTCAAACAAGAATCATGGATGCTGACAGGTGTGGTGATGCACACCTGTGCTCCCATTTTCCTGGGAAACTGAGGCAGGAAGATTGCAAAATCAAGGCCAGACTAGGCAACTTAACAAAACCCTATCTCAAAATGAAAAATGCCAAGGGTTGGGGATTTAGCTCAGTTTTGGAATGGTGCTGGGTTCAATTCCTAGTACAAAAAAAAAAAAAAAATCACACATTCCAGACCAGAGGGGGAGGCCAGGGATGTAGCTCGGTGGCACCGCGCCAGCCCAGCAAGCACGAGGTCGTGAGTTTGATTCCCAGTACCAAAAAAATTTTAAAAATAAAAAATAAATAAAGACTAGAGGGGGAAGACTGATAAGGAATGAAACATTTACATAGCTTCAAAATACCTCTTCACAAATTACATATTAATTACAAAGGAACAAGAGTAACTTTATAGTATGGAAACTTGGTAGATAACATTTTACCCAAGTGATTAAAGTTGATATAATGAATCATGGGACTGACTAGCATCATGTGCCTCTTAATAGGAGACATCAGATAAACCCAGTTTAGAGGATAATTCTACAAAATTAAGTAGGTTGGCCAGGGATATAGGTCAGGGGCATAAGCGCTTACCTGGCAAGCCTGAGTTCGATTTCCGGTACCAAAAAAAAAAAAAAAAAAAAAAAAAAAGGAAGTAGGTTGTATCTCTAGAAGGTCAGGGATTTTTTTTGGTGATTCTAAAAACTAAACTTAGATCCTTTCATATGCTAGACAAGTGCTTTTCCACTGAAATACACATCCAGCCCCTGGGTCAAGGTTTTCAAAACCAAAGAAAGATTGAGGAACTGTTCCAGATTACACATCAACTAAATGCAACATATGGTCCAAAGCTGGACACCAGACGAAATGGAGCTGTAAAAACTACTGTTGGTACAATAGACAAAATGTATGGACTGTTGATTAGACAGTGGTATTCAATCAATGTCAAATTTTCTGATTTTGAATTGCACTGTTGCTATAAAAGATAACACATTTGTTGCTAGAAAATAGCCACATAAATCTTTAAGAATCATAATATCTACAAACTATTCTTTAACACTTTAGGAGAAAGAGAATACATAGATATATAGATGCATAGATAGAAGTGGAAATAACAGCAGATTGGCATGGGTCAATCTGTTTGAAGGATGTAGAGATTTCTTCCTATTCTTCTTGCAACTTTTCTGAACAGTTAAAATTATTTCAGGGTGGGGATGTAGCTCAGTGGCAGAGTACTTGCCTTACATGTATGAGGCTATGTGTTTAGTCCTCAGCACTGAAAAAAAGTTATTTCAAAATTAAGTTACCAAAACCTTGAGAAAACCTGGTCTGCCTTCAGAGGTAGTGTGAGAACCACTGATGTAGCATGTGCTCGGTGTTTGTAATCATTTCCTGTGTGTTTGAGAGGAATGTGTGTGCCCTGAGTGTCAAGTGCAGAGCTTTACACATACAAATATTCAAACTATTAACAGTATTACCCAAATATTTTTAAAATCACTTTTGTCTATTTAAGCTATTAATGAAAAGTGTGTTGGAAACATTCTCTATATTGTTAATCAATTCTACTCATTTTTGTTTTACATGAAAGCTATTTTCATTAAGTGCAAATGAATTTAGAACTCTTTGTCCTTCCTTCATGCACTTCAGATTTTATGTTAGTAGTAATTTTTCTTTCTCCTGAGGTCTGTCTGGAATTTTCTAGTATAGGCTGTGGGTGGTGGGTTTTGGTTTCTGAAAATAAACCCTCATTCTTGAAGGGTAGATTTTACGAGGTAAAATTCTAGATTGACATGTGTTTTCTCTCAGGATTTTGAGGATATAATTCCCTGCTTTTTCCTTCCATTGTTGCTACTGAGAATTTTGCTTTAAGCTTATAGTCTTCCTTTTGGAGGTGATCTCTCATTTTCTTTGGATGTTTTTAAGAATTTTTTCTTTGCCTCCATTATGCCTAGTGTGGATTTCTTTTCATTTATCCTGCTTGGTATAAATAGTGTTTCCTCTACTTATGGATTCATTCCTTTGTTTGGTCCCTTGGTTTTGAATATCACTTCTATTTCTTTCTCTCTATTCTCTCTTTCTAGAGTTCTAATGAAAGATGATTGCATCGTACTCTGACATCCACATCCCTTATTCTCTCCTTCAGATTTTCCACTTCTGAAACTTTTGTGCTATATTATGGGTAATATCCTCAGCTCTTCCACAAGTTCTTTAAGTTTTCCTTAATATGTGACTCTTACCTTTTAACTGCATATACAACTATGTATGCTATTCCATGCATAAGTGTCTCATGAATTTAACCATGAGTAATCATGACACAAAATAAAAGTTCAATTGTAAGTTATTGTCATTACTCTTATCCATTACATGATTATTATTGCTTGCCTGCTAAAACTAAAAATATTGTAGAAATAGAAAAACAGATACCTTCCATTGAGTTTACCATATTTGCTCATTCTCATAGTAACTGCTAGAAATTGGGTGTTTGCATTGAGGTCCCCTCCACTCATTTTTTCCTTTTTTCTTCTCAGAGCGATAGGAGTGGCAGTTTCCAGTTAACAAAGAAAGAATGGGGGACATCCTATTCTGATAGGCCATGCAGTCCTCTAGGGTTCCAACCGAATGCTTCTGTAGGACAGAGATGACAATGAGCATTAGTGCCTTTGTTGTGAAGAAAATAACTATAACATGCAGGTGAAGAGCCTCTCACTCACACTGAGGTCTGGCAGCAGCAGTAGTATCAGCGGGGGACCCAGAGCAAGGAACAGGGCCTTGGTTAATTGTGGCAAAAAACAGAAGTAGGACATACCGGTCATCTTCAGTCCTTACACCACTCTTCTCCAATCTGCCAGTTCTTCTTTTCCTCTGCAGACCTTGGAGCATCCACTAGGACTTTAGTGAAAAAAGCTCAATGTTAATTATCCTCTTTTTGTTGTTGTTTGTTTTGTATTCATCAAAATAAAACTGAGCATGTTTAGCCATTTTCAAGTGTACTACACAGTGGCATTCAGCACATTCACAAACTGTTGTGGAACCATCATCGCTATCCATCTCCAGCTCTTTTCATCATCCCAAGTTGAAATCATACCCACTAAACAATAACTTCCCACCTCAGCCCCATAGCCCCTGATACCACAGTTCTATTTTCTGTTTTATATACTGGACCTCAGTATATATCAGTACCTCATATAAATGTTATCATATAATACATGTCCTTCCATGTCTGGCTTATTTCACTTAACATAGTCTTTTAAAGATTCAGCCACATCTAGTACACTAGGTTTTAAAAAGGATTTTTTTTTTTAACACAATGTCTTCTATTTGGTACTGCCTATAGGCAGCTACTTGTTTTAGGGTCGTTAAAAGTTAACCCTCTCTATGTTAGTTACTTTTCTCAGTGCTGGGGTAAAGTACCTGGCACCCACAAGTTAAAGGAGGAAAGATTTATTCTAGCTCATATTTTGTAAAGGTTTCAGTCCATAGTAGGCTAGTTACAAGGCAGGACAGCATGGCAGAGAAACATGGCAGAAGATAAACTGTTCATAGTGTGACAGGCAGGAGCCAGCAGCAGCAGCAGCAGCAGCAGCAGCAGCAGCGAACCTCCCTTTCCCTTTTATCCCATTCAGGCTAGGAGTCTGTTGGTTAGTGCCACTCACACCCAAGATGGACCTTCCCATTATTCACACTCAGAACTATGCTAAGCCAATCAGTGGGCCAATTTAGTTATCACACACCCTTAATCTATATTACTACACCCATATCCAGCAATCTCCAAAACCCCACCTATGAGCACATGAGGCTTTAGGGGGACATCTGGTTACAAGCTTTACCACACCCTGAATCTTTTTTTTGGCGGGGGTGGGTACCAGGAATAGAACTCAGGACCTTGTGTTTGCCAGGCAGGCACTTGTACCGCTGAGCTATATCCTTGGCCCTCACAGACTGAATTTTTACTGTCAGAGTTCCCACTGCAAACTTTCAAATTTAAAATGTAGTCCAGGGAAAGCAAGTGAAAAAATGTTATGTGTCTGCCACATATTATGTTATTCTGAATTAATTTCAACAGTACAAAGTGAAATATGGATTTATTTTTGCCAACAATATTTTAATATGTGCCTTGCACCTCTGAGAAATGTAAAACTCCTGAGATGGGTTTTTCCCCTAGGGATTGCCTAAAGAATTTAAAGAATCTTTTACTCTCTTATAGAAGAATTTGTTCATGCTTAGAATAAAGGAAAAGAAAAATAGCCAGGAAAAGCATAAAACATGTCAAATGTTTCCTCTAACTTGACTGAAGATTCACATTTGGAGCAAAGAGATGGCCCAGCACATCTCTCCCTTCTGGAATTATTCACTGCTTGGTGCCACTTGGTCCTTTTCTTCCCTAGCATGTGACATTTACTTCATCTCCATGGGCTGCCCCAAGGGTATCTCCACCAACCAGCTATCCACTGAGAAGCCTAAAGACATGTAGGGTAGGAAAAGCCAGGGGAATGAAGATTTAAACACAAAACAGAAGACTAAAAGAGCATAGGAGCTGGTTCCCTATGTGGACCTGATTATTCAGAATATTTAAAATGTTTGCTTAAGAGTAGTCGGGTGGTAGGCAAAATAGCTGCACAACTTGGATTCATAAGCTTCATAAGAAAAAGAATTAAACAATCTGTAAAATAAATTTAATATAGGAAGATGAATTATATGAAAATTGAATGGTGTGGTTTTTAAAGAACAGTGGGTACACTGTTCTATCTTTAAACCATGAAATTCAGATTTACTTTATCAATGCATTTATATTTATGGTATTTATAGATATTCCAGGTACTGACATAAACACACACGTGCATATGTGCACGTGCACACATACACACACACACACACACACACACACACACACGGGTAACCCGAGACTCTAGATCAAGTTACCTTGGAATATAAATGGAGAATTTCAACAAAATAAACCAAATATTAACATTTTTACCTCTATAATACATTTTATATTATTTTGTAGTACTTGAATAATGACCTGAATGTTCCAGTTTTTGCCAAAAATTTATTTTATATAATATTTTATTCCATCCTAGTAATGTAGAAGGTAGAAAACACTATGACATTGTGTAACAAGAGGACTTCCTTTCTGTCTCCCCACAGCTACCAATATGAAAAATGCCATCGGGGCTGGACTGTGTTTCAGTGGTAGAATGCTTGCCTTACATGTGCAAGGCTCCAAGTTTGATCCCCAGCACGACTGGGATAAAACATACCATGTGTGATGATAATCCTGCATTTTTAACTGCATTGGATTAAGAAATTTCTAGTACACTGGCCAAGCACACTCCTGAGTGTGTTTGATAGGACACAAAGACATGACTTTGGGTACTATATATGGTCCCTAGCCTGTTCCTCTCTGGAGCTGGTCTCCCCTCTGCTTCCTGGCTGCAGTGAGGTGACCATCTTTCTTTTGCCATGCCCTTCTACCATGCCACATATGCCTTTGGGCCAAGTGGCCATGAACGGAATATCCTGAAATCACAAGGCAAATTAAACCTCTCCTCCTTTAAATTGTGGGTATTTTATATTTTATCCCAGAAAAAGGAAAGAAAGCAAACTAACACAGAAAATTGATACTAGAGAAGTGGGGTCATTCCTGTGACTGTACCTGACCATATGGTTTAGAAGCCTTTAGAACTGGTTTGTGGGAGCAGTTTGGAAAGTCTTGGAGGCTAGAGAAGCCCTAGAATGCTATAAACAGAGGTTGATGGGTAGGTGATTCTTGTCAAAGCTCAGAAGACCAGAATGCTGATAGGAATGCGGACAGTCAAGGCCAAACTCAGGAGGTCAGTTGGGAACAATGACTCCATTAGCAATTGGTATAGAGGCCAAGTGTGTCATACTCCGGCAAAAAATTTGTCTGCATTTTGCCCTCATGTTCTGAGGCTTTGCAGGAGACTGAGATTAAGATAGTAGACTAATTAATCTGGCGGAGGAAATTTCAAGACAGCCCTACATTCAGGCTGTGGCATAGGTATCGCTGACTGATTTTAGCCAGATTTGCGGTGAGAACATAATGCTGGTTTTACTGACATTTAGAAGGCAAGAACTGTGGAATCAAGGAGGCTCCTACCCAGATTTCAAAGGAAAGTCTAGAAGGCCAGGGAAAGAGCCTCTGAAGTGCAGTACATGAGGCTGTGGCAATTAAGCCAGCGATGTGTTGGAGACCCCAGGAAGTCAGAGATGCCATGGAAATGGAACATCTTTTGAGGAAAGCTATAGGTCGTGAGTAGACCAGCCCAAGAGAGAGGCCATGTGGCTGCAACCAGCAAGGCAATAGGTATAGGGCTGCCTGTGCCCTTTGGAACTCATATTTTACTACCATGTGTCCTACATGCCAGATATGAAGCTACAGGGCTTAATGTTTGCTCTTCTGGGTTTCAGTCTTGATTTGGTCTAATTCTTTCTGTGCTCTGATTCCTCCCTTTTGTAATAGGAATGTTTACCTGTACTGAACCTTGGGATTGTGTAACTTGTTTTTTATTTTTATAGAAGTTCACAGTTAAGAGTTTGCCTTAAGTCTCAGAAGATACTTGGAGTTTTCAAAAAGTCTGAAACTATTGAAACTTTGAGGGAGGGATTGTCCCATTTCCAGCTGTACGTGAGATAGTTATATTATGTTAGGTGGAACTGTGAACTTGCTACTGTCTTAATATGTAGATAAAATATGGTTTAAGGAGATGCGTTTGATTGTGAATTAACAAGTGATGGATTGTGATGGTTAATCCTGATCTATCAGTTTTATTGGTTTAAGAAACACCTGGTAGATTGGTAAAGCTGAGTGTGTCTGGGTGGGTCATGACAGTGTGACTTTTGATACCACACAACGTCCTTAGCCTGTACCTCTCCAGCACTCCGCTCCAGCACTGGCTAGCATCAGGTGAGCAGCTTTCCTCTGCCATGCCTTTCCACCATAGCACTTCTGCCTTGGACCCCACAGACTGCAGACTGAAGCCCCCCAAAACATGAACCAAAGGAAATCTCTCCTCCTTTAAATTGTGGTTATTGGGTATTTTGTCCCAACAATGGAAAAGCTAACTAATACACCATGAAACGGTATCAAACAAGTTTTTCCTAGGCACTGAGAGCCTTTGCAGGGGAGGGAAAACCAGGGAAGTACAGGTTTAAACCTAGGAATAACTATGTGTTTTGTGTTTTGTTTAAAATACCTTCCAGCTCTCTAGTGGTTTGTGAATCCCTGGGGTTTCCGGGAGGTATTTGGGAACTGACTGGAGGTACTAATTTTATAACCGAATAATAAATCAATTACGTATATGTTTTTTTTCAAGCACACACATATATTTTACTTCAAAATGAAAGAGTCTGAGGCCTTTCAAGTGCATATGGAGAAAGCACAGGGCTGGGGACCATTTGGTGGTACTGACCACCTACTTCTCAATTGACTTGTCTTTTACTTGAGCTTTGCTAGCAAACAGGATGGGTTTTAGCCATTTGGCATGTTTCCATTACTTTTATTCTCTTCTGTATATTGTTTCAATTGTATGTTTTATATTGGTTGTTTTAGAGACAGGAAGCAAAAAAAGAACATGAATATTTAAATACAAGTTAAATGAGAATCTTAAAAATGATAATAATTTTAAGACTCCACCTCAGGAAGACACTCTCTACCAGATTCATAAATTATATTTATCTGATCAAACTTCTTGTATTGCTTATCAAAATGTCCCTGTGCAGCAAAAATGAGTAACAAGAAAAACTGTGGCCATTATATTCTATTGGCTTTTTAAAAAATAAATACAAACTGCTGGACAATCTGTTTCCTGAGCGAGAAAAAGTCCTGCTTGTAAAGCTTGGTCTGGGATCTTTCTTTCACAGAGTTATAAAAATAGTCTAGTTGTTAAGTTCAAAACAAATAATAGGTCATAAAATGGGTTTTTGTCTACTTTGACATAAGTAAATACAATTAAATTTCAATTTCTCTTTTAATATATATATTCTGTCCCCAAACCAAACACAGGTAAGAATTATTTTGCTGGGCATGACACACATGTGTAATTCTAGCACTCTTATAAGCTGAGGCAGGAGGATTGGAAGTTTGAGCACAGCCTGAGCAACTTAGCAATTTAGCAATACCCTGTCTCAAAATGAAAATTAAAAAGGGCTCAGATTGTAGCTCAGTGGAAAGGCCCTCAGTTCAATCCCCAGTGCTACAAAAAGAAAAATATTACCTTTAAACTTAGTTGTCAAGAAATCTATTTCTCCTACACAATGAATGAAAAGTAAATAAAACAGTATGTGTCTGCAGTCAGATGGAAAAAGTCAAAATTTATCATATGTACTAAATATATATGAATAATATTAGAGACCAATCTTTAATAATGTGATCATCTATAATTAAACATTTTACTTAAATTTCCTTCCTCATTATGCCACAAGAATGTCAAAGCGATTCAGGGAGTTTGCAAAGTTATACGTTATGGTAAAGGGGGTTAGAGGTAAAAAATAATTAAGAACTATTGGACCATGGAGATAATCAGTCACCAGAACCAGTTTTTAGAACCATTTTTAACACAAAAAACTTTTATTAAAATGTGTGTATGTTATTAGTGAAATAAATCTTACCCATTCCTGTCCCTTAGGAATTATTCTCAGTTTGACCATGTACAAAGAAAATTCCTATTTCACCCTTTTAATCTCTTGGAGGGTGCACATTTTCAGTTAGATTGCATATTACAGTCTGAGTCTTGCAGTAGCAGTCAAGCATGGGAGTCAACAAGACAGTGTGGAGACGTGGAGAACTCACGGCAGTGACTTGGAAGAAAATCTGGCAAACAAGAGAGCCCTTCTTGCTCCTTCCTTCCTTCCTCCCTTCCTTCCTTCCTCCCTTCCTTCCTTCCTCTTCCTTCCTTCCTCTTTCTCTCCTCTTTCCTCTCTCTCTCTCCCTCTCCTCTCTCTCTTTCTTTCAGTCCTCTACCCATCCCTAGGAGCCACATGGTTGTGGAGAAGGAGTGAATCAGACATGTTTACCAACATTCTTTAAGCAGAAATCAAAACTATGCCAACTTTGTGATTCCAAAGCCCCTTTGGAAGGGCATCACCCGTAACTCTTAGTCCATCTACGGCTTATTTTAAGAAATCCTACATCATCAGCTTCTTCATATAGAGGATGATACCACGAGTAAACACAGACATCAAAGAGTTTGAATCAAATGCTGAATGAGAAAAAGTTTTAGGAATACCTAAGTGAATTTATTCTGCTTAATCCTCTTTTTATTTTTGCACATACAAATATATAATATATAATAAAGTAATCTATGTCTCGTTTAATTTATAACAGCCCTTCCAATAAGTATAAGACAAACATTCTCATCATGTCATAGTTTAAATTGCAGAGTTTTGGGAGGGAATTGGCTTTTTTGTAGGGGGAGTAAACGCCAGAAGCACTGAGCTACTCCCCAACCCTTTAAATTTTTTTATTTTGAGGAAGGGATTTACTAAGTTGGCAAGAGCTATGCCAAGACTGTGATCCAACTTGTGATTCTCCTGCCACAGCCTCATGAGTAGCTGGGATTACAACTGTGTGCCACGCACTTGGACTTTTGTGTATGTGTGTTTTAAGGGGTTGCAATCTTTCTTAATTTTTCTTTAAAGATTTGTGATTGATACAATAATCATACATACTTGTGGAGTAACTTACAGGTTCTTTATTTTTTTTTTTTTTAGTTGTATCTAGGTAATGATACTTCTTATAATGATAGCATTTTAGATTCAGTGTGCAGAGCTTTGCAATTTAGAGCCAGTAATTTCCCATGTTCCTTATAAAATGGAGAGCTAATAAACCACTCAAGTTTAAGACATTTGAGAACTACTGCTGGTTTTATTTCACTTCAACAAAAAGTTACAAGTTATTCTTACTTTTATTTCACATATGAACTATTTTTTCTATAAGACTGTGTGTGTGTGGTGCTGGAGCTTGAACTCAGGGAGTGCTGACCTATATTCCTAACCCTTTTAATTTTTTTTTTTTAAGGGGGGGACCATCTCACTAAGTTGCCTAGGTTGGCTTCAAATTGCAATCCTCTTGCCTCAGTCTCCTGAGTAGTTAGAATTACAAGCATGTACCAGTGAATCTGGCTTCTCAAGATTTTTAGTAGCATGTGACCCCTTTTAAAAAGTCCCCAGAATATTTCTCAGTAGGGGATTTCCAGTGGTTTGGTTTTGCATGTACCATTTCCTTGAAGCTGTCTTGTTTCCTCTGCTAGGGGTGCAGGCTGCATCTTTATTGAAATGTTCCAGGGTCAGCCTTTATTTCCTGGGGTTTCCAACATCCTTGAACAGCTGGAGAGGATCTGGGAGGTAAGAGGAAAAAAATCTTCTTAAGAAAAAAGAAATATCTACTTGTCAAACTTTGAACAAAATTTGCCTTAGACACAAGTGAAACGGTCCATCTGCTTCAAAACATGGAGCCACAGATTAAGCTCAGAGAAACTGTGGTATTCGCCTCTGGGATGCACATTAGAGACCCATGGTGAGGCAGATGGCTGCTGTCCCGCAGGGGTCTCCTGCTTCCTAAAATCATTACTGTCTCAGCCTCTCTAGGCAATTTCTGCGTACTATTTAGGCTACTCTGCCTTATCCCCCCAGCCCTAACCCTATCCTTGGCTCTGGATTTTCATCAACTGAGTTAAAACACCCAATTTTTATACAACCCTGATTAAACAGAGACTTCTGTGTTAGTGTGAGAGAAGTATACTATTTGTCACACCCATTCACCGCCGAATACCTATTAATAGGGTGCGTATGTGTAATTCTGCTTCTTTCATTATTATTTGTCTCTACCTCATTTTTCCTAGGATATACTTGTTTTTATGTCCCTTACTAGTAGTGCTATAGTACATACTGTGGTCATCTGTATATTTGTTTTTCTTGGTGACTTTTTTTATTATGTAAAATATACATAACATAAAATTTGCGAGGCTGGTCAGTGGTTACTAACTTCTCACTGGGGTAATAAGTTCTGGTGTCCTATTGCACAGCAGAGTGACTGTTGATAACTATAGAGCTGTGTATATTTCTAAAAGGTTAGAAGAAAGGATTTTGAAAGTTTTCATCACCAACAAAACAAAAATCAACAAATGTTTAAGGAGCTATGCTTACCCTTACATTAACAATATACAGTATATACATGTACTGAAATACCACATGGAACCCATAAATATGTAATTTTAATGTGGCAATTAAAATTAAATGAGATGATTTTACTGTGTGTGTGTGTGTGTGTGTGTGTGTGTGTGTGTGTGTGTGTAACTGAGGACTGAAACCAGAACCTTCATATCAAGCTACTTGCCCAACACTTTTTAAAAATTGTTTTACTTCGAGATAAGATCTTGCGAATTTGCCCAGGCTGGCCTCACAATTCAAGTCCTTCTGCTCCAGGTTCCCAGAGTGCTGGGATTACAGACACTCACCCCCTCGCCTTGCTCATTGTAATCGTTCTTAAATTCATTGCATTAAGTCCACTAGCACTGCTATACCTCCATCACCATCCTCTCCTGGCCTTTGCCTTATCCCACACAGAAGCTCTGCAGCCATTGAACAGTCACTCCCTGTCCACCCTCCTTCATCAGCCTCCCGACCTCTAATCCACTCCCCATCTCCGCCAAAGTGCCTATTGTAGGGGACTCAGAGCAATGGAGTGGTAAAACTTTTGGCTTTCTGTGTCTGGCTAATTTAAGTTAGCATAATATTTTTGAGGTTCATTCAAGTTGGAGAATGTGTCAAGGCACTTCACACTGAGATTTTTATACTTGCTTTTCTGATTCTTGTTCCTTGTCTTCTGCCTAAGGAAAAACGTACTTTGGGAAATGAAGAAATTATGCAGAGATTAATCACTGGCAGTATATATTCTTTTGGAAACCTGGGGGGAAATGATGAAGAAACATGGAACAAACTGGGATGCATTCATGAATTAAAACATTTTTCCAACTTTTCTTAAAACTATTTTTAGCGAGGCAGATGAGTGATACCTTTAAACATACCATTATGCTGTAACATCATCTAAGCTGGAAACAGCTTAATGTAATGACTTTAGAGTCAGAAAACCTGGATATAAATGCTAGCCACTTTCTAACTGTGTGTTTGGGCAAGTTATGGAGCAAATCTGAGCTTTAGTTTCTTCATCTGCAAAGTGACTTTCAAGCCTTGCTGTGAAAATTTCACAAGCTCAAATATTCACCAAACTCTGTGTACCTTAAGTGTTCTATAAGCATTTGCTTTCTTCCTTCTTCATGTAAATTGTTATAAGGATGTTTCAGTAACCCAACTGCGAAGAATCATTAGATGATATTTAACCTAACTGTTCTCTTTTTCCATTTAATGGAATTATTTCTTGTCCATAGTAGTGAAGTATAACTAGCACTGCCTAGTCCTCACACTGCAATGACTCTTTACATATTTAAAAAGTTTTCCAGTTATTTAATACTTATTGGACATCTACCATATATAAGTACTTCTCAAGGACTTTTAAGAACCAGTAAGTAGCCAGGCATGGTGGTGCAAACCTATAATCCCAGCACTTAGGAGGTTGAGGCAGGAAGATCACAAGTTTGAGGCAAGCCTGGGCTGCATAGAGAGACCCTGTCTCCCCACTGCAAAAAAAAAAAAAAAAAAAAAAAAGAACCAACAAGTCTTGGAAAAAAGAAAGTAAGAAAAATGCAGGCTGTGTGTTTTCAAGTGTTGTTCAGTCCTGGTGGAGTGACAGATAAATATATGTAGAACAAACATAGACTGTGTATGTATGTTAAAAGACACATGCATACATAGCTAATGTAAATTGTAATACCAAAATAAGATGTGCTATTAGGATATTTGAGAAGTAGTACATTTGAAAAGACTGTATGCGTTATCAGTGTTTGAAGAGTTGTATATAACTGATTTTCTCAAATGTTTGTGTACTATTTAAATGACTACAACTTTAGAGAGAAATTATTTTATAATTCTTTGCATTTAGCATAGCACTTAGAAATCACAGAACAGAAAGAGTGTACTAAATGTTCCCTGGGACCTCATGGCCTTCTGGTTATTAGTATAGGTTTCCAGAACTGACTTTGGTGACTGATGCTGGCCCTTTGAAGGATATATTAGGTAATTCAGTGATAAAAGATGTTAGACATGAATCTGGACATAAAGCACCAAAAACTGAGTGATACAGCGAAAGTAAACATGTCTTAACACATCAGTCCAACAGGTTGTGCCTGGGAAGTCATGTTCACCTTTACAAGTGTCATTAGCACACTGCAATAAATCAAAGGGACTTGATTTTGACATTTATGGCAACTCATTACAAATTAAAACAACTGAATGTATTAGAAGTAACACTGGCCCAGGGGCAGGAATCATGAATTCTGAACACAGCTCTAACTTTAGGTATGAGGTAGATCAAGTCCGTATCCAACCTTCCTGGGTTACAACGTCTTAAATTGTATTTGATTCTCTGACTCTGAGAAGTTGTGCTTTCTGTAAACAAAGGGCAGAGAGAACATGGGAGCTCTGATCATTTGTAATTGTGGTATTTTCTCTGTTGTATCTTCCCCTTTGGTTATTTCTCAAGTTTGTGCAGTTGTCTAGTTCATGTTAACTGTCAGCCTGTGCTTCAGAGAGAGAGCTATGTTTATTAGCTATGTATTATGAGCACCAGGAGGTCAGGTTCATTAAATCTCATTTTCTCATGGTTCTATCCAAAGCGCTCTGTTATCATATCTGTAGTTCCACACTCTGAGGAAAAACAAGAAAATCACCACATCCTGCAGCTTTGCTATTTTCCGTACTACTATGTCTCAAGCAGGATAGAATATATTTTTCCTGGTGCAGCAACTGGCCTATGATAGGTGCTAAATAATAATAATAATTGTATTTCACTTTGGTCTCCATATGTAAAATGTAATGCTAACTGATATGTATTACCAAAATTCAGGCCATGAAGGAAGTCTTTAGAGGTTACATAAGGAAAGAACAGCCAAAAAGGGACTATTTAACTGTGTATTCAAGATTTTTGTTTTCACAGGTGAGGAAATAATGTCCCAGAGCAGTTTCAACATTCCCAAGGTCACACAGATGAAGTTACAGCAAAAATTCCACAGAAAAGAGAAGCTTGGTGGAATGTGGGATAAAGCCAGTAATGTTACATTTAATGACATCACAGTGTCTACACAAAGCTTATCCATATGGCTGTATAACACATCTGAGTGACAGTGGGTATGAGCTTTAGATCTGAACTGATTTCTTTCTTTTGTAATTGACAAATAAAACCTGTATGCATTTATCATGTATGTGATTTATTTTTACAGTACTGGGGAGGGAGCCAGGGTTTTGCACATGCTAGGCAAGGCTGTACCACTGAGCTACACCACGGCACCAATATGATCTTTTTTTTTTTTTTTT